GCAGTCTGATGAACAACACGCCACCAAGCTTTGCACAGACGTCCCACCAAAACCCGGGCAGTCTCACGCTGATGAATAACACGCCACCAAGCTTTTCACAGACGTCCCACCAAAACCCGGGCAGTCTGATGAACAACACGCCAACAAGCTTTGCACAGACGTCCCACCAAAACCCGGGCAGTCTAGTGGACAATGATACCAGCTCAGTCAGTGCAACCTTTGGAACGCAACCAGAGTCCATGTTAGGCCTATTAACCTCTCCATTGGAGGATATTGACGCAGACCGTTATTCAGATTTGTCCACATCAGGCCTCCATGATGAATACATTGAACTGGACGAACCTGAGACCGAGGTTGCCTCGAAATGCACAAATTGCTCTGCTTTGCTAAGTAAAATCAAAGAATTGGAAGACAAGCTTGAATATCTAAGTAAGTAAGAAAATGTTGACGTCATTTTAAATTCTTTTCTGAAGAATAAACTAATAGGTACTAGTGAACCCATTTATTTTTATCTATCGCACTATTGCTGCTCTCAAAATGCACATGTACATCTAATTAACATAAATTTCTACACAGAACCTCCTCCTCAAGCTCTGTCATACTTTAACCGACTTATGGGAGATGGGGCATCCAATTCTTCACACGTGAGTAAAAACGTGCTACAGAGAATGAAAAAATAAATAAATAAAAGAAAGTGGCAAGAACACTGATCTTTTCCTTGTTGTCCAACAGTTATAACAATAGTTTTTATGTCTTTTTAGAAACCACCGGAATCGCAATACGAAAATGATAAAAGTTGTGATCGTTCATTAATCGCAGCCCCTGGTAAACAAGAATTGTACGCTGGAAGTGGTGTCTATATATCTTGTGTGGAACTACACACAATATTGGCTAAGGCTATGGGAAAGCCACAGGAACTCCTTGGTCAATTGGTAAACTACTTTTTTGACGACAACATATTAGCGAAGTCTGTCCCTTTACAAGAAAGTCGGGCAAAGGGGAAAAATGTACTTGATCAAAGGATCATTCGTGCCATTATAGGTATGTTATCGAAGAATGCTTGATGCACAAAATGTTCGCGAGTCAAACAAACTCTTCAACATATAAAATCTCATATCACCATGATTAATTAATCGTAAAAATTCACACATTTATAAAAGGGCGCAACAATAGCAATGAAGATTATTGAAATAGACTTTTTATCCTACGCGTTACTGAGGCACGGCCTTGACTGACATTGGCTTGGCGTGTTGCAAAATTCCCGCCAATTCACAAAAATAGTATGTAACGCTGCTAAGGTCGCACTTCTGACACGATTTTATGCACATATAGCAAACTTAAGGATATCCTAAAACTTTTTCTTCATTCTATTTTCAGTGTATTCGAAGAAGTGCCATTTGCTGTGGGTCAAAGAAAATAAAGTTAGCAGCGAAGAAAGGTTTGATTGGGGAAGAATAATACGAAATAAATGCATCACTGCCAGGAGGCGTTTAGAGAGAAAACTAAAAAGACAGTAATGGTCAGTAAAATTTGTTATATATGACAAACCCGTTGTGACGAAAAACTGATAGATCGATATATACTTTGTAGAATACGCATAACTTAATTGACGCGTCATAGCACGTGTTTTGATTGAATATCACTAAAATAAATAATATGTAAGAAACCACTCTATTATAATAACTTTACAGGGCATTGTTGTGCATCAGCGGGCTAAAATTCATTCCGCTCAAATTAGCTTTGATAGTTTGCTTGCTCTTTTGAAAGAAAATAGACTTAATTCATTTTGTAAATGCCCTATAAGATTATTATAGCGAGGGATAAGATATATCCTGAGAAGGGACAAAAACAATTTTATACTCGCGAACCTCAGCTCTATTGTTATATTATAGTTAGACTTTGAGATTGGTTTATACATGCCTACCATATTATTGCCGTGTTTATGGATAGCTAGATGTCGATTGTACGTGATATATATAAGTATGTCAATCAATTAGCTTCAATTAGTCGTACTCCAGCTCTTCATCGGTTTGACTTGAGCTCTGCCGACTCTTGTCATTCGTTTCAGAAACTGTTGTTGTTATAAGTCCATTACTAGTATAAGTTAGTTGGACGTTATATCGATATCCTCTTATACGGTTTGTGAATAAACGAATCGCGATTTGTTTCGTGAGTCGATCAGCCTAGTGAGTGTAATTTAATCTTAATTAAAATGGCCGTACGAACTGAAAAGAACGACGACAAGAACCACGTAAAGTACCGCAGGATGGCTAGGTAAGCGTTATTTACTACAATTCTGATTGGATGGCACGTATGTGGACGATGGATTCTGTATTCTATTTATATAACATCGGTAAAGTGATGAAAGACACGATATTTATTGCAGCGTTCGAGTAACGCTGCACAGCGCTGCGTAAGCGCCGTCTGTCGATGAAACTTTTTATGCGGCTATTTTGCTGTGGTTTTCCTGCAGCGCTCAGCGTTCGTTATGCAGCACTAACGCAGTCATTTTTTGTCACTACTGCAGCGCAACGCAAATATCCTTCGTGCAACCCTTAGGCAGCGTTTTATGCAGTGTTTTTAAGTCGCAAAAACAGCGCTGGGGTAGCGCCGTTTGTTTCGTACGGGAGGGTAGAGGTAACTGGATACAGGGTAGAAGTAACTGAATACAGGGTAGAAGTAACTGGATACAGGGTAGTAGTAACTGAATACAGGGTAGAAGTAACTGGATACAGGGTAGAAGTAACTGGATACAGGGTAGAAGTAACTGAATACAAGGTAGTAGTAACTGAATACAGGGTAGAAGTAACTGGAAACAGGGTAGTAGTACATGCAACTGGATACAGGGTAATAGTAACTGAATACAGGGTAGAAGTAACTGAATACAGGGTAGTAACTGGATACAGGGTAGAAGTAACTGAATGGGTAGAAATAACTGAATACAGCTTAGAAGTTGCTTGATACACGATAGTAGCTAAATACATTGAAATTCATTACTTTGTGACAATGTAGGACATGTGGACCTTGACATGCAAGGGGGTGGGTAAGAAGAAAGAGGCACCACAGGGTATAATAAAAAAGATACTTTTGTATGAGCTGCAATCCACTAAAAATATACCTGTGAGTCTTTTGATTTAATGGTATCGTCTACTGCAACACATTTATGATTTGATATACTTTTTGAAAATGAGTTTGAGCTCCTTGATCTTAAGCTTTCCCTTGATCCATGGAACAATGAATGAGCACTGGATGTAGCTGGAATAAAATGTTGAATATTTATTTTGCCAAAACGCTTATAGAACAGTGTGCATTATTGGTGGGAATGGATGTACAAATCCACCAAATAGAAAACTGCTATTATTGAGATAACCTCAACATTTACAGGTATTGTCATTGATTTATGACATATTATATATGCTGTTTTTTCTTTTTTTTTTTTTTGGAGGGGGGATCCTATTGAAATAGGTAACTACTGTTTGTTTTTCAAAAGTTTTTCATGGCGAAGCTTAAATATATAATTATCTTAGAAACCTAAGCTTCCTGGCCATTAATAATTCATGCATTATTAGTCCCATGGGCGTTGAAGTATTGGATTACATGATGGGCCTTTAAATCTGGATAAAGCACCAATGTTTTATATCAGTTCTATGTTCTTCAATGACTTTAGATTCAAATTCGAYAACTTTAGGTTTWAATTTGATTACTTTGGGTCTTATTTTGATAGCTTTTTGAAAATCAAATTTTGTCACTAGTTTCACTCCATAAGCAAAGGTCCCMGTTTTTGARCTGAAAAATGACACATAATAGACCTTTAATATTCTTAAATCAGTTAGAAACAATGTGCATAAATGGCACAATGCACATGCTCATTAGAAGTTATGCATTATCACTGCATGTTCTCACATTTTTCAATTTTTTTTCTAAAATGATAACAATTTCTGGATGTTGGAGTTCTAGAAGTCGTTTATAGAACTCAAGTTCGTGTTTTATCGGCTATATTGATTTTCGCCTGTGGCTCGAAAAAGTTTATAAAAACACAACATTATAAGTTGTTACATTGACCTATTTTGCAATCGCTAATTACCATCATCAAGCTTTTGATTTCAGTCTCTAGACGATATAAAAGCCTAAATAGTCAATTGCCGAGTCAATTGACACATTTTTCGTACTAAGGCTATATTGCTTTAAAATTATCAGGGTAAAAGAACTAAGCTAACTCGCTAACCTCGAGGTTGATTATGCCCATGTCTCTTATTCGTTCGTCCTGGAAGCTCTAGCTGAAAGCAATGAAAACTGGCCAGTTGGACTTCTCTCATTATGATGGAATACTTCGGATAATTATTAAGGTATTGGCACCTATTCTAAGTATTGGATTTGCTGTAGCCCCTTCTGTGGTGAAAATGAAGTGAGAGGTGTTGCCATAGTGACGACATTATGAGGCGCAGCGCGCTATGCATGATAGATTAGTCCATAGTTAATAGATTAGTCTATGAACACACGAACCGTGGAAACGTAGTCTGGAGCATGTTGAAAAAATATCGAAATTTTTTATATGGTTAATAGTGTTTTACCGGAAAATAAAACAGTCGTATTTTCCATTTTCTTCGCTAGTGAAGACAGGCCCGTAGGCTGGAACCCCCCCGCCCCCCACAAGTTGAAAAGGTCTATTTTAAAATTCTTTTGTTATATGAGCTGTTTTGACATAGTAATTTGTTATGAACTGCTCATTCTAGCAGCCATTTCTTACACAATAGTGCATGGAACTAATTTAGTTAAAAATTTAATTTWGGTCTACATTATGGAAAAACGAACCCCCCCATTTGTATTAAGGGATGTTAAGGCAGCCTAAAAAAGCTCAAAATGTCCCGGATGTACGCGCGCGTCAAATAAAAACAACTTTCCCGCTCATTTCTTGTCGATTGTTCACTGAGTTAAACATGGCGACTAATGATTTGTAGAAGGCTCAGAAGAAGATTTGGCTAWATTTTAAAAAGAAAATGAGAACCACAACACAACGAAGAAAACTTCTTATATTCAGGGAACACATCGCATTAAAATTAACCTTCATTCTGAATTTTGTTTGCTTTAGTTTGTCCATATAATAAAAAGAACATTACACGTTGGCTTGAAAATATGAAATGTTATTTTCTAAAGTTAAGAACAACATTTTACTAGTTCGCTCCGCTCACTCGTAGAATATTTTTTTTTCACCACTCAAAAATAAAATTCATATCTTCGCGCCATCTTCGACGTGCTTCAGAGGCCACTCCAGACAAGGGATCAAGTAATTCGACGCCGCGAGTCAAGTGGCCTGTGGTACTCGCAAATACACTCTATGTGATCGTGACGGTCGTCATCCAATATTCCTCGGACGTTTGGGTTGGAAGGGAATCATCAGGATCCCRCCGACCATGTTTCAAAAATCTGAATTATATTTAGTTGAGTCCACAAATGCCGCCGGAGCTAAATGTGSAGCCATATGGTTTCTAATGCCAACGATGCAATGCCAATAAGGTCCAATAATGTCAAAGCAAATTTTAAAGATCCTTCTCAGTTTTTCAACGGAAAATCGAGACTCTGAAAAGATTAGTTAAGAACACTGATCCTGAGCGTTATAGTCGATATGGCGTCGCGCGCTTATTGTAGACTCTAGGAAGCATAACTATTTTTAGTCGGACTAGCCGAAGGCGAGGTCCGACTTTAAAATTACCTTTTAGTCTATCTGTGTGTCATSTCGCGTTTGGACCACCGGAAGTTAAGAATTTAATAATTAACTATTGGGTTAGCTGTTATTACATGACCAGAAGCTCAAACGTATTGATGTACGAATATCGTTAGTAAATATCATATGCTACTTGCGCTTTTATATGACAAAAAAACTATTCGTTTACAAATGTGGTATCTGTGATCTCATCGGAATGCATCAGTCTAGGTATCATAAGTACGTGCATGTGCAGATCGCTTGGTGCTTCGACTAGTATGCTTACGAAACTAAATCAATGGCCTTTCTAGCGTTAGGCAGTCCTGTGTGGGCAAAGATTTCAAAGAACAAGAAGAAACATTTTTTATCAATAACAAAAAGGCGAGTTTATGATTTTATGGTATCATTTACTTTTGGGCCTGAGAGGTCAACGTTCACTTAGCATCACATTATCTACATACCAACGTTTGATTTTATCAGTGAAAGCAAGGACTACTTTAAACGTTCATTGCTGGTCATTAATTACATGACCTTTTAGGTCAAGTTTATTTTAGTCTCAAGAGAGTTTGGATATTTTGAACTAGACGCTCTTATTAGACCGTGAGTTCGGCTATTTTGGAGAAAAATTAAGAAATATATATTTTAATCTAATTTTTATCTTTTATGTAATATCCTGCTGTCTTTCTCAAGTTTCATTTACATTCTTAATATCATATGATTAGACAAAATATAACATCATAATCTTTTCACTCGTGTCTATCAATTTTCAAAAATAGCTAGTCCGACTTCACGCCCCAGGGGCGTCTAGTTTCCTTAACGATGCGGATTTCTTTTCTTTTTATGGGGGAGGGGTGGTTTGAGGGGAAGCGTGTGGTTTATTGCCATCGTACGCCCTACAGATTAAGTTGATTGGCATGAAAGGTCTACTACCCGCTTGTGAACTTTGGTGTTTCCCTTTAGCCTAGAATAACGGGGTCTAGTTATTGTCGTCAGTTTTTTTGCAAATGACAATATGAGCCCAGATCTATACGCTCTCACTGACTGGTCCACTTTGATTCATACTTCGAGCCATAGCTGGTCTGAATCCGAGTAGTTTTATTAAATGCCAAAAGTCAATTGTCGCGCTGTTGGTACAACAATGATATATTAAAAGGCGAGGTATGAGCAAGGGATCAGATTTGTCCAATTTAGTTATGATTTATATCAACCGTAGTGGTTAATAATAGTCAAATTAATCCTAACCCATATCAAAAGTGTTTATATCGAGCACAGTGGGACACCAATAATAATCATTCATAAAATGGCGCTGCAAGAGTTTGCAAGCACATGTTCTGAAACAATATTTAACGCCATGATATCAAGCCACGGCTTAACTGCAAGGCTTGTTTGTGATCCCATATGGTTTCTTTGTAATGAAATGGTTTGGTTTATGTATTTCTTGGTCATGATGAGGAAAACTGTAATGAGAGTTAGCTTTGTTTTACTCACGAAATGTGTTCAACATGAACACGCAKAGTTGGGGGTCGCTGCGTGGTTATTTTTGTAAGTCAGTTTGTCCAAGCTCGTGGTTGGGTCATTTGGTTTAATTGGCTTCCTGTGAGTTTATTGAAATGAAGCCCTTTGAATGCATGTCAAAAACCCTTTCATACAGGGATATAAAGCCAAAATATATGACACTCCGTGGGGAACCATCTTACAAATTAATGAGAAGACTCGAAAAGTGTTTGAGTTTTACAATTACGGAGATTCTTCATGATCTCGCCATAAATCCCACGACGATTGTTCTGAACAACTTGTTGGCATGTCTGATTTATCTCTTGCCTTTTTGTTATCAATTTTTTTGGAAAGGTCTTACAGCTCCATACGACTACCTCTATCTGTGCCCTGAAGAAAGTGCATGTACTTTTTGCTTTGTAGTTTTCTTGACTTCAAATGGGAAATTCGTTTTACATATTACATTTATATATATCGCCTTTTCGTTATAATCAAACACCATCCTTGATCAAACAATCTACTCATATCGTACCAGGCGAACTCCGTTGTATTTTGATCCGTGCTGTTGAACAAACAGATCTAGTATACGATTCGTGACCATTACATGATTTGCCCAATGTCACACTTAATGGTGGTTTTCACACTGTTCAGCCTACCTGTTACTCCAATTGAAAGCTGCTCGGTTTATTGAGCTTATTATATAGATTACAAGAACAAAACATGCTTTTTACAATAGTCAAAAGATGGAATATCTTAAGGCCTTGTCTACACTTTCAAGTATCTATTTATTTGTTCTTCTTCACATTGAAGATGTCGTGCTTTTTTGTAAATTTAGTCGCATTAAACAGTTGGTATTAAAGCTGTCATAAATCAGGTTATTAACCTGAATCTTCAATAATCAGAAGTACCTTAAAGATTTTTTCAACTAACAGTTTACTCCAAGGAACTTTAAGTCAACGTGATCAAACAGAAGTTTTATTTAATGGTATATTTACTAATAATCTAAAGGTAATACATGATTGATATTTAACGTTATAATGTAAAGTATTGGGCGTATCTCGAAAATCAATTGAGCGATGAATTTGCCAACGGTGTCGCTGACAGTTTGAGTTAAAATTAATTAACTGTAGAATCAATTCCTCGGCAGGAACTCTAGCTTGATAGGAGTGACTTTGAAACCAAGACACGTCGTGTTATGGCTTCCAATTATTGCCATCTCAGCATGATACTAGCTGTTAATCATCGCACACAAACAATTTGTTATCCAGCATGGAAGGCACAATGAACGAACAATACCTTAAAATCACGGGAGGCTTTACTTTATTCGTATAAAATGCTACCAATAAAAACCTAATGAATTTGATTAGGCCGACACTTTAATATAGGAGCCCATTCAGGCGCAGTTTATCGACGTACTTCATTTCAATTGTCATTGTCCATGTCTGTTATATCGGATTGATTATGCTCTAATTGGGTCCGTTTCTCCCATTTTGACGAAAGCTCAAGAGCGGTCTATAATCCARCCTTAGTCATCTTTCTTTTCAGTGGTGTTGATGTGTATAATCCCGAAGACAGCTGAATTCAAGAGCRTCGTGAATCACTTCGAAGCATGGAAGGACTGACTGCGTTTGTGACAAAATTCGACAGCAACAACCTGGAGGATACTAAGAACGTTACTACGAGCTCAGATTCAAAGAAAGACAATACTAACAGTAGCCAATCATCGGTACTGCCTTTTAGTATTGAAGGGATTCTTGGTAGAATTGACCATAAGCTTGAGTCTAGACGCACCGCGGAGAGTAACAAACCCAGTGAGTTAAATCGAGGTACGTACTTTTTCTTATATCTAGAACCTGAATAAACAACTAGAATTGATACAAATAAATACATGACATTGAATCTTCTTTACACGGAATTTTACTGTGGAATTACAAACTCTAGAATACGTCGCGTATCGCGGTTTTTAAGTATTCATGCATTTATTACTTCAGATTCTCATATAAGGCTGTTATTCAGAGCAGGAGCTGTGCTGTCACAGGTGTAATATATACTAATAAAACCAGATACTTGATTAAGCCTTACCCTTTGAATGCTTAGGCGAATCTGTAATGATATAAAATGAATATAGGCTTGGTACATTTCCAGCGTGCAACAGAGAACAATCTTAATCTTAGAGTTGTAAAAAAGAGCAGAATACTGCTTTATTACCATGGCCAGGTAACTTTCACATGCAGTAACCGAGTGCAAGGGAAGGTGCGACAATAATTAAGAGTGGACACTTTTATTATCAGTGTAATTTTGAAAGTTTTCCTAACTAAAAGCAAAACATTGTAAAGTTAGCTAAAATTATTTTTGGTAGAAGTTCTCCAGATGCCTGACTTTGCCGCCGGGCGTTAAATTTACCTTAATATCTAAAAATGTGATTGGAGTATTGTCAGCACCTCATGACTGACCATTTTTKCACTGCTACCTTTTAAGCTTCGTATAGTGTTGACAACTGTTTTTAGGCGGTCTTCTACAGACCTGTTTTACACCAAATAAATATCTSTCATTATGCTTAACCTTTGCACATATTAACTGAGATCGCGATTTTCATTTGTTATCGGAATAAAAAACAGTGTAGTATTCATCCCAAAAATCTTATTTTTGCCCTTGATAATCTTGAGAATCCCTAACACCTGGATGCATTGATAAATACTACTTACGACTCCTTATAATAAATAAGGGAGGACGCTGGTTGTACCAGTTGTCAGATAGTAGTAGTATTCAAGTAACAGAAGAAAAACTGAGACTCGTCATCGTTTACACGATGATACATTAAATGCTGCTATTGATCATTTGATTGTGATTAGATGTATAAATCTGTCCTTTCATTATAAGAAACTTTTTCCGAAACGTCTTGTGTCTTTCGTGGCATATGATGAATTGCTGATGAAGGTTATTTCCTTTTTAGTTTCTTTACATTGCAAACGGTCCAATTCATTCCCTTACCACGGGCTGTTTTGATTGGCTCAAAATCGAGTGATTGGTGGAAATGTCAACGTTGATAGGGTTTTTCTATATTTCATTAATCAATTATGGCGGTCGTCATATTAAAAGGYATTGTAAAATTGGTTCCTGCGTTATACAACTATGTGGGTAATGCCAATGTAACCAGACAAAGCCTTTCTAGACTCCTTAGTTTGCAACCAAAAAAAAAAACAAATGAACTAGTCTAGTGTAGGCAGTGGTATCGAAAAAATARGAGCCATTATATAAAAATTGTTAATGTATTCGACCTCTAGAATTATCTAATTATAATATAAATTCCTGACATTCATCGTGGAAACTGAGAAATAAAAAGTAGCCTCGAGCAGGGTTAATGATCGGCGCCTAAATCAATATGTCAACTTATTTGTCTCTTAAAGGATCAATGTTCACTAAAAAATGATGGCAAAGAATAATGAAAAAAATGATGAACAACGCGCCTTTCTCTTTCAAACTCTTTTCAGGCAATGGCTCCTCGATTGCAAAGTGTACAAGTAGGACAAGAGCACCAAGAAATAGGAAGAACTTTTCTGGAGATCAGCTGCGAGAATTGGAAAGACTTTTTGATCAAACACACTATCCCGACGCCTTGACTAGAGAGGCTTTGTCGAAAAAGCTGGGACTATCAGAAGTTCGTGTTCAGGTTTGTCGTGATGCATCTACCTATATTGATGATTTAAGGTGGCCTCGCACTCCTATCAATTTCGCAAGAACTGAATAATATTAGAAGTCGGTTTCAACGTCAGTTAGTTTTTGAAGTACTTTAAATGTTTACCACTGAGAGGTACAAAAATTGTCTGTGTCATTTTTGCCCTTACTAACCCATGTAGAGTACCTTTTCTCCAATGCATTGTCACAGTAGTAGCTTTGTTTTCAACAAGAATCCCTCCTTGTCTTTGATCTCATACAGACGTTTAATACAGAAAACATTTGAGACTAATTCAGAGAAGAAGGGCAAAGCTGCTTTCTTTCATGACCACGCCCATCCCATTACCCATACCGATATAACAAATGCATTTGTGTTTTTCTCTAGATATGGTTCCAGAATAGGCGGGCAAAAAGCAGAAGACAAGAAGGCATTAATCAGAAAGGTCTTGCTGTCCACGCAACAGAAACGTCACCGACTCACCTTTTCGTACCTCAAGATCCTTTGCAATCTTCTACTGAATCCACAAAAACTCAACTTATTCCGGAAATTACACCGTTCCGCTTCGCGAGAAACCAATATTGCAACGACCACTATTGCTCTTACTCACGTTTTGGTATATTTTCAAGCACTCCAAACATGGATCTTATGAAGGACTATCACAGACAAGCGAGCTTAGTGGATCTAAGGATAAAAGCTCGACATCACTCCACACCCAGTGACTAAAGATAAACAGTTGAGCAACTGATTTTTGCAACTATTGTAAAACATTCAAAATGGAAACAAGCGAGATACTAGTAAATGATGTTCTCCATATACAATATTCAAATTCATCGTCAGTAAAAATTTAAGGAAAATATGTGTTTATAGTAATGTTTATTAAACCGTCGAAAGTTTTACCATTATTGGGCAGAGACGAACCTTCTTCTATTAGATAAATACAGCACTTTGTAGTCAATTTTTCTAAATATCCGAGCCACACTGATTAAGTTAGCAGGATTTTAGGCTCAAGATACGTCTTTTATGTTGATGAAAAGCGTAAACCATAACGAATTAAAAAGAGCTTCTGCGATCCATGCCCGTGGGGGGGGGAGGGGGGGGGGCTTCCCTATAAAACATGGTAGGTATGCTCGACGGACATTTTAGGGTGAAAATACAACTTTACCGTCTTGGTTACACTCTTGCCATCGTTTTTTTTATGGCAAACAATTCAGAGGTATTTTTTTTTCCTACAACACTTTCCGTTCTTTCACGGGCTTAGTTCAGAAAACTACAGCATTTTATCTCAGCAGACTTTATTGCCCTAATATTTTTCGACCACGGAGAAAATATATAACAATGAACTTTTAATTACAATGTCTAAGGTACAAATCTCATCTAAAAGCCCTCATTTCTCAAACCAACACACGATCACTGGCTACAAATCGGGTTATAAAGCTAAATGACAAATGACTGTTTGAGCGAAAATTGTATTTTCAAAGCAAGAAAGGGAGACTATGAAAGTATACTCCGTTTTTTTTTTAAACTCAGGCAGCACATTTTGTCTGTTTTTGTGCGCGTCTTGTTATTGAATAAGGTYTATCAATCATAGTAGGAAAATCCTTTTCTCTTAACATAAAATTTAGATACCAGGCCTCTTGTTGATTTGCTTAACTCACACGTTTTCAGTGAATTATTTGTTAAATATTCGTAATTAAAGGAAAGACATTCAGGAATAGCTTGACATTTTCCGTAGCAATCCAACACTCCTGATACATTGATGGTTTGTATTACTTGACCATTTAATGACCAATCAATTTTATTAACGTCGGTAGCCATGGTGCTGGTCTGTCTTACCTTGATTTCTGTTAATGATATAATAAAACAATGATGACAGTTTGTTAATGATAATGTATTTTCACATGAATGCAACTTGTTCACAAGTGAATATAGAGGRTATTAAATGTAATGACAATATTGTACATACCCTTTTCACAAATGTAAGGTATACGGCTTTYGCATACAATATCATTCCACTTGCCGTCCCAATACCTCATCTCAGCACATGTCTCTCCTTTATTCATGAAGTTGTTCGGCTCGTCGAATCCCCAACCTTTGTAACCTGCCAATACTTTCCCTCTGTTCCATGTCCAGCCTAGTTCACTCGTATTAATAAGGCCAATCCATACTCCTGTCTTCGGTTCTAGTTTACTCATAAACTGATCAAATATGAATTTCTGTTCCATTTCTGTGTCAATCTCGGCAAGGAAAGCATGTAGTTGACGACAGTTAGCATCAGCAACTGAATGTGTAGTTAAACGGTTTACTGGCAAGTAGCAAGACATCCCAAATCGTTTCCAGTTTTCACAGACTTCATAGTCAAATCCTAAAAATGAACAACTCAAAACTTTATATATGGCTTACTTTTTTTCGAATTTTCCGCACGAACTCAACACTATTAYGACATTCCTTTCCTTTCTTATTCAAGCATTCTTCGTAGCCAGCTATTTTTGCTAGCGAATCCACAGGCTTCCTCAAGAAATGATCAGTGGCAGAAGTACATAACCAGATTCTGGTTATGTACTTCTGTCAGTGGTTGTCTTAATAATAATAAGATTTATCATTTATCTCAATAGATATGATAATTAATAAAGTTACTGAATTATTTTTCCTTTCTCCTAAGTAAAATTGACAAAACTAAGTCATTTTTGATCTTGATGAGAGTTCATAAAATATGTCCATCCTCTGGTATCTATTCTCACTACACGCATTAAACGCAACTTTTAATTTTACAAGATGGGGTTGATGTGTATATGATCATTGACAGACATGATCTCTTACCTTTTCCCAAACACGTACTGTATCCACCTAAAGACAACACTATAAACACTGTAACGAACATAGTGAAACACAGTGAATGACTCACGCAGTACTGTGTTCTCTCTTATTGTGGGATCAAAGTTAAAGTCTTTGACTGATTTATGACATACAGCCTTAAAGAAAGCTCCTTAAAAGGGTGATGGATGGGAAAACGTCATTTTTTAACAACTGTTTTAATAACGGTTACTTTAAGGACTATTTGCTTTAAGTACTAAGGATTAAATGGTATATATTTAGATAATAAACGATAAATAGAGGATATTACATGTTCGCGCWGGGATACGGACGATTTTATCTTCGAGTGTTGAAAAGATCTCTCATAATGGAGAACTAGAGGATATTACATGGGCGAGCGAGATACGGATTTTATCTTCGAGCGTTGAAAAGATCTCACGAGTGAGCGTAATTACATATGAAAGCAAATTGTGTCATATAGAGAAACCTCGATGTGTTATTTTCACTAATGAAAATATCAATTTTACGAATTGAAAAATATAGGTCGTATTTCATAGATAATTATATGATAAATATAGGTATATATAGGTAAATACAGCCTTTTGCAAAAATTATGAGAATTGTTGAAATATCTAAATATCCAACCTCGTCCCCAGGGCCATCTCGGCCGAGATGGCCCTGGGGACGAGGTTGCTAAATATCATAATATCGAGTGCATGATGGGTAATCCCGCGCGATGCCCTTTGTCCCTTGTCTTTGTAGTTTAGTTGTTTTTTTTTGGCGACAGACTTACCCGTAATTCTGAACATTTTCTCGATGTCAACAATGAATTATTCTAGCAAACCTTCGTGTTCCAGACAATATATGGATATGGATATTATGATATTTAGATATTTAGACAATTCTCATAATTTTTGCAAAAGGCTGTATAGGAAAAATATACAGTTATGTGAAAAGATAAATTTAACACCGTAAAAAAGTATGTGGAAAAACTTACTGACGTTTCGGATGTTAATCCTTCGTCGGAGTAAAGAGAGAGAACTAGGTCACCTAGTTCTCTCTCTTTACTCCGACGAAGGATTAACATCCGAAACGTCAGTAAGTTTTTCCACATACTTTTTTACGGTGTTAAATTTATCTTTTCACATAACTGTTTCTTTAACAAACACCGACGCAGCTCACACTAGTTTACCGCTAGTTCCCACCATTTTACTAGGAAAAATATAAGTATTTTATAGATAATTATATAATATGCTATTGTGAGTTCATTAAAACTTTATGACAGTCCTGTTTATCTGTTTTTGTAGTAGGGATACCTTATGAATATTGCGAAGAAGACAGTTTAAACCCACTCTGTTTGAACTTGTCAGCAAATGTCTTAAAGATTTTCCCCTAAAACTTACCTTCTAAAAATGAACAAATTTATATTTTTTTATATATATATTCACAACGTTTTGGAATAGTTGACAAATTCATCTGTTCTATTTCGAGTAATATATATTTTTACAGCTTTATTGGGCAAAAGATTACAATAAATACAAAAAAATATTTCATGAGGAAGACTAAACAACAACAAAAACAAAAGAAAAAAAAAGCCCAACAGGATGAGCAGGAACGGAAACAAGTACCATGCGAGGTGCTATCCTTATTGACAAATATTTTATGGATGTGATTTTTAACTCGAAGATTGCGAAGCAATCGAAGAGTTATAGGAGGGAGATAGATGATGGTGCGTGAGGTGAGATGGACTAGTTAATAGGTCACTTANGCTCATAGATACAGCACTAATTCTATTACGATGATTTCAAGGATTATTCCGATCTATGTCGATCAGTATTTAATGCTAATCGATTCATATAAACTTTATCCTTCGTAAAAAATCGATGCACGGACAACAMTACAGAGAACGCAAAATATAAATTTTAACGGTCAACATTCAAAGTGAAAGTATCATCACTCCAAACTATGAAATTGTGATGGTGTTGATAATTCATTGTCGATATCGTTAAGGTGTTACGGATGCATATAAATTATTAAATTCAAAATTTCAATTCAATATTTTTATTTTATAGATTTTTTGTCGAAATTAGACCACATCTAAACAAAGTCTGAGGCTTCATACAGATTTATGTCGGTCCACGGTATAYTTGTCTAACAATCTTCGAGTTRTGTCGCCATTGGCGGCTTGATTGAATATTACTCGAAATAGAACAGATGAATGTGCAATAATTTGAAGTTAATGATGATGTCTCTGGATCTCATCAATTTTTTTAGATATTTGGCAAAAACGAATTTCGACAAAATGCGACTTTACTTCCGTTGCCTAGGTAACGTTATGGTGCTAAATATTATGCCAAACAAAACTTTGATCAAAGCTCTATTACTGGTCCAAACACCAAATAAATCGGTGAATGGCAAGATTTTCAAAAACCGAATTTAAAAGGAGAGGTATGGCAACAAAAAACTATAGAAAGCCACCTTAAGGGTGATATTACAAGGGATTGTCAGTCATACCAAAAAGCTGGTTATTTCCTCCGCTCCTTTTTTCGTCAAATAGAAAAATCGATGAACTGCAAACCATTACTTTATTTGATATTCTTATTTAGTGCATTTTTGCCGTTAATCATGCTGCAAAACTTTCCGCAACCAATCCGATATCTTCACAACCGTAAATTGCCACAAAATGAGAGAAATACCGAAAACCGACCTCTACCAGAAACCATTAAACCCGGCTCCAATCTACAATAGCCCTAGAGACGTGAGCAACAAACACCTTCAAAGGTTTATCTGGAAGACAATCAATAMATTCTGAACTTAAAAGATACTCAGCTCAAATGTAGGTGGGCCAAAGAAAAATATTAAAACACCTCGAAAGATATCAGATCCCTGATTTTTAACCCTAGAATATATGACGATCTTCCACCGCCTTAACAAGGTCAATAAGAGGTACTACAGTATTAGCAATTATAACTAGACGTGTTTTCGTCTTTTTAATACTCTTTAGAAAGTTCAATGTTTACAAACATTTTCAGAATGAGTAGTTAGTAGTTCTGGGAGCTAGTTTCCATAGTTGATATAAATACAGTTAGGAGTATTTTTGGATATCTATGTGTACTTTTACAAATAAATCTATCCATACATAGCATACTTTTTACTCTGTCCTCGGTGAGTCTACGCAACTAAACTCCTCCCGATAACACGTCAGTTGTCTATGAAATATCAAGATATATATTCTAACTTTTCTATTGATTATCTCCACAAACGGTTTGATGTACATTAATTATGGTCGAGTACAAGAGATCTATTTAATTTCCACAGCAACCTGATTATTATGCCAACTGTTTACCATGAGAACTACAAGATGATAGTTAAAATACTTGTGGTGGTAAAATGGCTGTACAATTTTGTCAGACATTCCATGTCAGATCATTGATATATAGGACTATTTCATTAGATAACAAGGCATTTATGTTTTTATACGATTTCATATTTATCTGCTGTGAAGGAAACTTCTTGAGAGAACTTGACAGGCTTGTTGTCATCTACACTACATACATCAGTAACCTATTAATAACAAAAAGAGAACAACAATAGTTAAAAAAAAAACAAAGAAAACATTACTGTGAAAATTGTTAACAACTAAATATGGGTCGCAACTGGCTTGGAATTCAATGACTTAGAAAACAGTCAACGTATAAAGCAAATCAYCCTTTGTAATAAAAGAACTGGGGATTTCTCTGTTTTTACAACTGATATTTGAAATTATCTATATATGAGAAGTGAGTTTGGTTGCTTCCTGATGTACAGCAATACTCCACTAAACTTGGTTTAGCTGTGCATGGGTTTATTTGAAACAATGCTTTCATGCYTGATGCAAAGGAATCCCAACTGAATTYTTTTTAAARATTATTGTTATTAAAATAACAGTATGCATTGGGTCTTACCTTCACATCACAGAAGGTCTTCGAAGAGAAGAATGTGACAGTAACAGGGAAAAAATCTCCTGGGTGACCAGCAATAGTGAACTCCATGCTTCCACTCTTGTTATTTGTATCAACTACTGGAATCTGCCATTCCAACTGAGAGTGTTTGTGGTTGTAGTGATATTCACCATCTATTTCTCCAACCACTGGTCCACCAACACCATGACTATCAAACACAAGAAAATGAACTTTCTTTGACTGATATCCTTATAAATATTAACAAATACTTACGGCACAGGTATTGTGATGACTACATCTTTAAGTTCCAGTTCTTCCTGAAGTAGTTCATACTCTATATTAACTTCACACTGTCCATCATTCTCAGACGGCCAACAGTTAACTAAAATGTTGAGGATTGAGGAGATATGGTTATAACTTATTGAAGGTGGAAAAATAAAGRTGAAACTAGTATCATTGTGTTGCAGGGAGAAATTACTGAAAAAACACTGAAGAGCTTAGTATTAAATCATTTCGCTTTGAATTCTAATTGACAGTTGATGTTGGATACCATGGTAACTATCAAGCCACAAGTGATGTGTGCCTGTTGTAGCAATCTAAAAATATTCACTTTTATGATAATGTATATTCCAATCACTCACTTGATAGTGGCATTAGTCCCTCATCTGTCGATTGAAGTCTCCATCGGAGCAATCCAATGTCTGAATTAATTGGGAATGATTTCCCTGATTGCTTTAATGCTATGATATTGTCTGAAGCAAAGCCCTTCTTGTCTACATTAGGGTGTGTCTGTAAAACAAACACACGAACAAACAACATTAAATCAACTTTGAATCTTTCAAATCTTGTAAATTTAAAACACGAAATCCCAAAATCATGTCAATGATTGTAGACATACTGACAAAAATGCCTTGATTCCTGCTTCTAAACTCAATATCTCATCAGCAAAAATCATTTGAAACAAAATGTCATTGTTGTAATTGACCTTTTGAAATGCATTGTTGGTCATTCTATGGGTGCTCAAAAAGAGTTTCATGGCTTCAGAAATACTATACAGGTAATCAAAAACTTTATTGGAAAGCAATAAGGTTAGTACTGCTAAGGTGCGAGTTAATGCCAACAATAGATTGCATTCTTGGTATGTACTGAGCAGTATTCAACCTTTCCTAAAATACAGTAGCTGTATATGTTTTTACAAATACAATCATCAGTTTAGCCTCTGGTGGTACCTTAAAAAGGTATTAAAAATAGTTTTGTCTTGTTATATACCTGCAACTGAAAGCCTTTGTCATCATTATTCTCCACACCAAGCTTGATTCTAGCCATTTCACTATTATTAATTCTAAGAACCATTAAACCTCTTATCTCCATATTCTGCAGGCCACCATCCCTTCCTGCTGTTAAAGTGATCTTCTCATCTGTTTTAAGGTGAACACTAGAACAAGAATGATATACATGCTAGTCCTGAAACATGCTTTCACTAATTATTTATCTATAGACAAAAATACTTGGTTGTGCAGAAATTTTATTTTCAAATGTACATGGAAAGAGTATGAAATTGACATCTCCAAGAACTCAGAAGACAGAAAATAAAATAAAACTGACACAAACCTTGATATATTGACACTTGGTGCTGCAGCAGGTTTTGATAAAGACTTCTGTTTATGACTAATGACCTCTGTAATGACATGACAACACTTTAAATCATTCAGAATAATTATTACTGGCACAACTACAATCAAATAAAATAAAGATTAATAACTGGATTGGTCAAACTCAATCCAGAAATAGCTGACAATGATACATATTCTTTGTTTCTGTAGAGCTCAAATCCCTTTCCCTAAGATTAGTACTTTGGGAATATTGAAGACCAGATGCTCATTTCATTTACCTCATACTTTTACAGGTCTAGCAATAGAATAGTCAGACCTGCCTTATTCCTGAGGAACACACTTTCTTATATGAAGAGGTCATAATACAATATAATGACTGTTTCAGATTTTCAGAATTATTTATTTATTCACTCAGAAATGTACATTTTGTACAAAGAGTGCCAGCTGTCCTGCATGTAGCTGAGAGCTTATCAAAGCAGGGCAGTGACTGTATATGGCAGTTTTAATATATATGTGTTGGGAATAATGATTGTCACAGTGAATTATAATAATCTTTAAGTGATCAATAAATGGATTGCCTGAAAAAATAATTAATTATTGCTTAGATTATTATAATTCACTGCAATGATCATTATTCCTAACACATTTATACACATACAAGAGAAAACAAGGAAAATATAAATCATTGTAACCTGTACATGCTTCCACATTTAGTGTTTGTGGTTATTAAAATTTGAGTGTATAAGCATCAGGCAGTCAATTTTTTATTGAAAAATCGTAGGAACAACTGTAATTTCAACWAATACAACAAGGGAAATGCAATATAGACCAAAAAAAATACTCTTTGATAAGTTTGTATGCACAAGCACGGCACTTTGAGATTTTTCGACTGACAGATTTTCCAGAAATAAACATCATGAACTTTTTCTTTTTAAAAAAAATTGTCTGTTCTGACAATTGGGTAGTTCCAGAAAATATCCGTACCATACGACAGGCAGCATTTCGTAAAAACTGAGGGGAGGGGGTGGTCATCAATTTTGGAATTCCAAGGGAGAGGGGGGACCTAGACAAATTATGGAAAACAAACTTTAACCGGGGACTTACGTAGACCAGGCATTGATCACGATCTAACGTTGAAAAAAATCATTATAAAAACGAGTCATTTTAACAGAGTTTAAATCATCTGTGCGCAGTTTGCTTGCAGTGTTCGGCGATTGTAAATGCTTGTGGTCAGCGGTTTCTTGACAGAAATTAATGGCGTCTCGGCCATCTTGGTCAGAGATAACATTTGTTTTTTTTCTCAAGAGTCTAATTTGTTTGAGCATTACTTGTTAATAGACGTTAACTAGACAGAGTAAAAGATAAGTAATTCCAACATCAATGATTTTTGCTTGATTTTTAAGCACTTCCACGAAGCTACGACGATGCATTGTTTTCGAACGATCAGTTCTCAAAAAAGTGTTTTTCGAGAATATATYTATTCTCATTCATTTCCTAGGGGGTAACCTGATTTCCTAGGGGGGTAAAACATGATTTTGGAATTCCTAAGGAGAGGGGGGATGCCCAATTCCAGAATTTCCTAAGGAGAGGGGGGGTTGGAAATCGATGTCTCCCGTCGTATGGTACGGATATTTTCTGGAACTACCCATGAAAAAAACCAACTRCCTGACGTTTAGTTTTGGGACTAAAGGTCAGGCTGCCTGATGTTTAGACACTCTATAATATAATAGTTAAAATACATATAGCACCATGTCTCTGACCTGTTCCTTCTGACCGTAGTTTGTCCACAAAATTATCAATATCTTTAGATTTGCTGCCAAGCTTCATAGCTTTGCCAGAAAAAACGGGTTAACCCGATTTTGGTGTTGAAAAGGGGTAAAATACATATAGCACCATGTCTCTGACCTGTTCCTTCTGACCGTAGTTTGTCCACAAAATTATCAATATCTTTAGATTTGCTGCCAAGCTTCATAGCTTTGCCAGAGCCTGCAGGTCTGTTAATGCCAAAATCAGAAAAAATTAAATTTGTCATTGATGCAATAAATTTGATAAAGATGAACTATTTCAGTAGAATAAACGTCWAATCTATTGTACAAACTGACCTCTATTGAACATCAAAGTAACATATAGGGTATATAAACTACACATATCCTAGTGGGCCACTATATTTKACGGCAAAGATTGGAATTTCACCTTGTTGGGTAAGATGACTTGGTTGAAGGCGTTGTATCAATAATAGTAGTAGTTTCAACAGATGCAGGTACTTCTGTTCTTGATCCACCACCAGTAAAACTACCAAATCCAGGCATTGTCATCTTACCTCCACGGCCCTTGGCAGCAGCAACCTTGGCTGCTTGAAGTTCTTTGGCTTTCTTTTTCATTTCCTCTTTAGCCTCTCTTTCTTGTGTCTATATTGAATAATATTGTGAGGAATGTCAATATTGAATTCAATTAAAATGATTTCTTAAGGAAATATTTGCAAAGTGATGAGCCTTGGATTGGTCTGATATTATGTACATAAAAACAAGAATCCATGTAATTCTTTTATAAACAGATGCCTTTTTAAATAATTATCTTTTCTATTTACCATACATAATGTTATTGTAAATATTGTTCTTCATTTTTATTATTCTTTTTAATACTTATATGTAAAGATTCCATGTTTGTTGAAATCTATTGAATAAAGACCATTATTATTATTATTATTATTATTATTATTATTATTATTATTATTATTATTATTATTATTATTATTATTATTATTATTATTATTATTATTACCTGTCTGACTGCCTGGAAAACCTTCTCTTCATGACTGTCCATTTCTGTGAACGTTCTAATTTGTGCTAAATTGACATTCTCTCTATATCCAAGAGCAACAATTTCATCAAATGCAAAGATCAGTGAGAATGCATTAGCAGCTATTTCAGATTCATCCATAGAGCGACAATATTCAGGAATCTGAATAGAAATAATAAATAAATATGAACACCTTTGACTCAAATGACTCAGTGAAGTTGAAAGATTTTTTTACTTTAATTAATTTGCACTTGCTGTGAAAATGTTTCCTTCCTTATTTTTCTTATGTGATATCAAAATCAGTTTGATCAATTTCAACTCACCACTCTTGAAAAAAGTCGCAATGTTTCCAAGTCTTCAAGGATATTACTGTGCTTAGTTGTTATCAACAACATATACAATTTCTCTAGAGGTTGATAGACATATCGAACGCTTTCTGTCTCCACAAATGTGTGTTGTTTACTAGTGTTCCCTGAACTCATTAATTTAGGAAATGCTGCTAGGAGACCTTCAATTCTTGACCGTGTCATTTCTACAAACTGACGTGAAATTATTGCTGTAAAAAGAAAAAAACAAAAACTAAACCATTAATGACAGATAACATTGATGCAATGGACAATAATATGCACTGGAAACATTGAGCTTTATGAAGTTTTCTAGTGGTCTTTGACATATTAGGTGCAAGCATTACAGTGTCAAAAGAACAAAAGTTTGATGAAGTTCACTAAGACCAAAGATTATAAATGTATAATAATATTAAAATAAACAGACCTTTTCCGCTTTTGGTACATATTGCCGACGCTAAGAGGACCTAAAAATATATAAAACATCATGAAAAAATGCATACTAGTTACATTATAATTTTCAATAGYTGCATTTCCAGAGCGACATAAACCAGTCAGAAGCTTTTAGACACAGACGTGATTTAGACATAAGCTTTGACATTGATCAGCAAAATAAGTTAGATAGATATCTTACCAAAAAATATAGTAAAATTTAAGACAGATATATGTTCTAAAATAGTAAAATTACTTATGAAGTATAAAGAAAACCGGCGAATGTCACGTTCATTTCCAACTTCTCCGAATAGAAATCTCGTCCACTTGTTACACGTAATCATTCAAATATAACAATTCTTCTGCATTATAACTGATTTTAGATCAAAAAAAAGGAAAATCAAACATTGTACTTACCATGTTGAGAAGAGTAAGGTGGTTTGGCGGATCTCAAGGCTTTATTTTAGCCTGTTTTTATGAAGAGTTTCTGTTCTCCTATGGCCGCCACGTCCTCAATACAGTCGTCGACTAAGCAAAGCACCATGGGAAACAACGTCACGCATGTGCGATCAATAACGTCACGTGGTATGAATTCACACAGGTAACCCAGTATATTACAAATTCAAATTGAAATTGAGATCACCTAAGCACTCAAAAATATTTCGGTCTTCAACGGGAATTGCACCCCTGTCCCCAGCAAAGCAACTGCAGTGCTGTACCAACTCAAAAAATTGCTACATAGGTTCAGATGTGCACTGCTACTGGGCCACTGATCTACTCTCTTTTGCTGTGGGACCCTCCTGTGGAGACAGTGGCCCTTTCTTCAGCAATGGAGAGGAACTCTGGTTTCAGTGGGCAACCATGAAGCGTGTTAGCACAACATTGAAAGTCACCTGTCTTCCAGGCTCGCTTGATGATGATTTTTTATTTTCAATGAGAGCACTGACCTAGCCTGTAAAGTGTTACTCCATGTAGTGTCTCAGCTAAAGTGCTTTAGCCCTTCGCAGTTATTTGTATCAAACAGATCCAGCCTAGCCCAACTGTGGCCCCACTTTATATACACAAAAGTGAAAGTACCAAATTGGTAATTTCAATTTTGTATATAAAGTACTTGCACTAACTTAATACCCATGAAAATGTACAAAATCAAAATGGCACAAATCTGAACTAAATCTACAACTGAAACAGATCATCTCTTGAATCACCATTGTTCTGGTTCAATTTCAAAGATTAGGGGCATTCAGTCTTTGTTGACTCTATTATGTTTAATTATAGACTGCTCTCAGTACAATCGTATAACCTTAATCATTAATTATCTAGCAAAATTTCCTAGTTGAAAAACACATAGCATAAAATAGAATACTCATGTTTTCCTGCTTTACTAAAACCACTCAAGTCACACAGGTTTTTATATTTGGACAGTTTGATCACAGTTAACCCTCTACTAACTATTGTTTGATTACAGTATTGTGAGAGCAGCTGGTTTTCTCCTATGCCTTTATTTAAAAAAATAATAATTTAAACAATCAACCCAAAGTGGTGGATGATCGTCATTGATGAAGCTTTCACAAGTATTTGAAGGTCAAGAGCAAATTCATGCAATAATACCTATAAGTTGCAATGACAAACAGCTTCCCCTCTTAAAAACAAAATAATAAGAAGCAACAACAATAGCTATTCAACACTTCCTATTTTTCTTTATTTGCACATTCCTTTAATTAGCTTGATAACTATTATCAGAGTTATAGATATTCATACATGGAACCTGTCATGATGCAGGAAACCTTGCTATGATATAAAATGTAATTTCAATAAAAATTTACAAGTTCCCTTTGGGCTTATTCACACAAATTTCCAAATGCTTTGGAAAACTACAGTTTTGTGTTTTGTTACAAATGATTTTCCAATCATGTCTTTTGTGTTAGGATTTCCATTGGGGTTATAATTAATAAAAGTAATATATGGAAAAATGATTGCTCATGATAAAAAATAAATTTTAAAATCTCTGTAGCGTGTAACATCTTTGTTGAAAAGTTAAATTTGAACATAAGATTTACAATAACTAAAATCCAACAAAATAATTTGGTATTAACACCATATTCTCAAAATAAACTAGCTCCCCTGAGCTTTTAATAGTCTATAATAATTATTATTATCATAAGCTATTACTAACAATTTAGTGCCAAACCAGTTAGGAATGACGTGAGGTGGCTTCTTTTGCAGCTAGAATTAGGGGTACCAAACTGGCTAAAGGCTTGGCCTGCTTAAGGAAAGGGTGCTGAAAACAAGAAATACATGTTTACATGAACTCCTGACATCAATAACGAATGAAAAGAAAGAAAAATACTAGTATGTCAGATGAAGAAACTTACTAAGAGTAATTCCCTTGCAGAGGCTCTCTGATCTACATCCATTTCTAATGATTTTGCTAGGAAGTCTTTGAATACAGGAGATAACCTCTCAGGATGGGCAAGTTCTGGTGTACCATTTGTAGCAATCAAATACAAGGCCTGAAATTGAACAGTTAATAACCTTAACTTAACTTCTCCTCAGAGGGATAACACAAAATCTATTATATTTTTTAAAATCGCCCCAAAACATTGCAGCAAAAATTGGAAATGTAAATGGGCCTTACAGTTTTTTTCTGGCAATGCCTAAGTCTTAAATAACAGATTGATCAAACTATGTGAAATAGTGTGAGATAGTAAATACTTACTCTTAATGGATTTTCATTCAGATATGGTGGTTCTCCTTCAACCATTTCTATTGCCATTATACCTAAACTCCATATATCAACCTGGACAAAAAAGACATCATGTCATAATAATTGTGTAATTATTACAGTTGATGCCTAGACAAAATATTACCAAAAGATATGGTGAAATTTGAGTTAACTCTATATATAAACACACCCTTGGTCCATATTGTTTTCGTGTAACAACTTCTGGAGCCATCCAGTATGGTGTACCAACCATAGTTGAGCGCTTATTTTGCTCTGGTGTTATTGTAGCACAGAAACCAAAATCAGCTAAAAATAATCAGTAAGTGTTAAAACAAAAACAAACAACAAAACAAACATACATAAAAGGACCCCCCCCCCCCCCCCMCCTCAAAAAAAAGCTTGAATCACTTACTCAATTTGACTTGTCCATCCATCCCTAAAAGGATATTATCACTTTTAATATCTCTGTGAATGACGCCATTACTGTGCAGAAAGTCTAAAGCTTGTAAACACTGAAAATAACAAGTAAACTAATTTACCTTTCAGAATATGTAATCAAATATTTAAAAAATCTAAGATTTTGATTTGATTGTAGGGTTAGAATGCTCAGTCACTTTATTGACTGCCTGGCAAACTGACCAATTKGTATATTACCTCTCTACAAACTGAAGCTATCTGTCCTTCATCCATGCATGTTTCTGTAACAACATCTGTTAATGATCCTCCAGCAAGGTACTCCATGACTACCCATAACTCTTCACCAACTAGATAACTATCAACATAGTTCACAATATTGGGGTGTTTATTCTCCCTCATCACCAGAATTTCATTGATAATCAGCTCTTTCTTGGGCTGTTGTGACAAGTTCATTTGCTTTATTGCTACCTGTAATTCAACAATTCTGTAAGTGACAAGCCTTGTAAGATTGACAGTGTTAATTCATACCTCATGCCCTGTGGCTACTTCTATTGCAGTGTAAACTGTTCCTGATGCACTGTGGAAAGTAAAATAGCATAATTAACAATGATTCTAGTTTATTTATTTCCTAGACAATAAGTATAGATAAAAGTTAAAAACATTTCAAAGTCGTGTTAGTTAGAAAATTACTTGCCAAAGTAGAGTACAAAGATTAAATGTGTGCAACACTTTCCACTATTTACTACAAAATAGTGTTAATTAAACAATAGAATTAGCATAATTTAGCAGTATTTAGTGTATATTGCACAGTTTTAGTGTTTGTACTCTACMACTTCTTTGTATGTTGAAATTGAGGAAACTACAGAAATATACTACAGAAACACTAAATTGAAGAAAATTCTTCAATCACTTATTTTTGGTCTAACAGTCCTGTTTGATAATTATTACAACCTTAGAATACGGGTTAAGGTTTCTGATTTAGGGATGGGAGGATTTGGTTTTGAGGATGGGGTAGAGTTGAGTTTAGATTTGAGTTAGACTCTAAACTCTGGGTTTCAAAAGGACCCCCTCCTGATATCTGTGAGTGTGACTAAAGCCAAAAAGACTAAACAAAAAACAGCAAAACCCACATTAATTTCAAAAACAAGCAAACTGTGKWAGTACCTTGAATGTGTAAATTTATTGTACTTAGCGATCAGTTGTCAAACCAAAGCTGTCCATAACTATGGGTTGTTTTTTCCCTTTTTYGAAGGACATCATGAGAAATAAGGATCAAACAAGACTATTTAGACTGATTGAAGACAATTTTCTTCAATTTAGTGAAAATTTCAATAATACCCTAAAAAGTCATTTACACCTTCCCTTTCAATTAAAATGCGTATCATCTTTCTCAAACACACTTAAATGATATACAATATTTATAAACTGTAGAGTTTCCATATTTTCTGTAGTTTCTTTTAGTTTCCTCTATTTTGATTTGATGTTTCTTTGTGAAGACATACCCTTGTCCAATCTTCTCAAACTTTGTGTATTTCCTTTTAGGATCACCAATGCTAACAATGGTCCCTGCAAAATAATCAATCTTACTGTGATGTATCTGTGTAACATGTACTTACTTTAAAGGGTAATTGAGAAACCCATGGTTTTGCATTGTGCCATTATTAGGATTTTAATCAATAACGGAATTTGTTTTATCACAAAAAATAGAAGTAGAACAGTTTTAGATGAGTTGTAGCTGTTTAATACAAACTTACTAAGTCTACATAAAATTTCCTCGTCTGACATCTTTTTCTTCTTCTTATCCCGTGCTTGGGGATGTGGAGTTTTTCCTGTCTGTTCATTTACTAAAAATTGATATTAGTTTTATAGGATGATGGAATTAATTCAGTGATCGTCAACTACATATGAAATACATTTTCTATTACCTTTATCATCTTGGTCAGGTTTGGCTTTTATAGGCTCATTAGGTATATACTGCAATATAAACTGCTAGTTAATAATCTCTTAATGATTGTTTGATTTCTAAATTGCACAGTATACCTTTGATTTAGTTATTTCTGGACGTGTTGGTATTGCTGGTGGGAGTGCTTCATCCTCAGGTTCTGCATGATTAGATGTTTCTTGTGGTGCCATTGGCTGCAATGAATATTCAAGAAATGAAAAGTAGAGCTTTTTATGTTTAAGAAAAATTTTCAGATTTCCTATTCTAATACATGATAGTCATGAAGTTGTCATCAAAGTGATATTATTCAATAAAATACCATTAATTGTAAACATACATGAGTTGGAGTAGCATGAGGTGGAGGTGGTGGGACATACGTCTGATCACCTAGTTGAGGCCTTGCATGTGTCTGTCCTGTGAAACATACATTATTACATTACTTTATTTATAAACAGTKTTTTCATAAAGGTGAGTAGTTTTTCTTGAAGATGATACTTGATGATTCCACAACATATCTCCCCTAATATCTACCTGAAAAACATTTAATCAATACTATTTTACAGATAAGATATACCTCTAAATATATTGCCCACACAAATATTTGCACATAAAAACTTCATAAGTTGGAATGCTTCTTTTTTTCTGTTTTCCATTTTATGAGAGCATAACAATACATTAGATTAGTTTCAAATRCTTCTTTTTCTTGTGACAAATAATAAAAGACAGGTATAAATAACTTTGCAGATTTGTGTGCATGATATTACAAGGTATATTGATTGGTTTATTGAAACTTTAACTTGAGTGTGCTTTACAATCCATTTGAATTAAGAAGCCACTTGCTGTCCACTGTAAAGTGTTTTAAAAATATTTTTGGTTTATATGCAAGGATGGATATATTACAAGTACATCATTAAGTGGCTTCCTGATTTAACCTTTGCAACTGAATAAATTAGCATATTCAGTATACAAAAATATTCATATATACATATACAAATATATTACACTCAAATATATTCAAAATTCTATCCTTAAAATACTGTGTCAGCTATAATTTTGTTTTCTGTCTATAAAAATAAATGAAAATTATATTTCAAAAAAAGTCTGATCACTAAGTATCCTACAACTTTGATTATTCAAAACGGAGCACTGATTTCCTACTCACTGCTACACCAGCTCATTCCCAAAGTAAATATGGATACAGGTACTGCAAATGCTATCTAACATCTTCTAATAAACTATTAAACCAGGGCTGAGCTGGTGTGCAAAGAACCTCTCACCAGCAGCCGATTTAGCAAGAGATTAGCAAGACAGGTGCATATATGTTGAAAATAAGAACTGAGCGTGTCCAGGATTTGACAAGAGCTGATGCCCACAGCCGCAAGAAACCAGTAGCCCATACAACATTGGCAGTAACCATAGCATTTTAATCGGGCTAAAGTGTCTTAACTGACAAGTTAGTGTGAGCTTTTAAYAAATCAAAATGTTGCAAACAGAACAAAATCAAGTTGTATTTTAACAGGAAAAAAGACATTCATTAGCATGTTTAAAAACAAAAACAAAAATTAAAAAAAAGTTATTTTAATTTATAAATTAAATGTTCAATATTAATGTGAATTAATAATAATCATAAAACCATAAAAAGTAATTTTAAATTTAAAAGCACAAATTAACTAGTTTGAAGGTTTATAGGTTGGTTAGATAGTCAGCAAGAACCATACCATGTTAGGGACTAGTACCTGCACTCATTTCTTTGGAGGTTTTGCATTCTGAATGATGATTGCTCAAGCGATCAGCATGTAAATTTAGTGCGCTTTCTAAGTCTTCACCAAGAGACGCAGGTGATGATTCTGTTACAGAACTCGTATTTGAATGCGAAGTAGATGATAGCCTTTCAGGTGATGCACAACGTGGAACTTCGGCAGACATAGTTGGAGATGAATATTTACGTCCAGTATCATTTATTTGGGTTATAGGTTCTTGTGAAGGTATATCTTTACAATTATTACAGTTTGTTTTGGAAGGCAGAGACTTTCTGCGCTTCTTTGACAAACTTCGTTTAAGTTTTAATCGAAAGCTTCCTTTACGATTTAATGACTGAGTTTTAGGGGCAGAACAACCAAAAGGTGAACATGAAAGGGACTTGGTTGCGTCAAATGCTGATGGGCTACTGGCAGATTGAGGTATAGGCCTACGCCGTGGTGAGATTTGTTCAGAGGAAGAAGAAGAAGAAGAATGATGACTGCGAGCTAAAAGTTAACAAAACATGCTTTGTTATTGACAAAAGTACTGTTACTTTGGTTTCTGGTAAAGGGTTCAGATACTAAATGTAATTAACACATAGTCCAGTGATTAAAAAAATTATTTGAACTGGATTGACATTAGGAAGACAGGATTATTGTTGAGCTTTTTCTTTTAAAATACATGTTTAACTTTTACTTTTCTTCACAAATCCAATACATGACATTAAGAAAACAGAAAATCTAAAATTACAATATTATTACTTTATGAAAAAGCTTTAAAAATCACACACACAAAAATGACACAATGAMATCAAGGGCAAAGAGACATTGATCCAAATAGACATGTAAAAAAGTTTGTATTGTACATTTAACTTAATTTCTTTGATGCACAATAGTAACAATACCAGTAACCATACAAGAAATACAAAGTGCAGCAGCTAAAACATAAAACAGTGCTTAATGTTACTGAAATAACTAATTTCTAATATACATAATAAACTACCCAAAACTTTTGAAGATATATAGAGGGTATTACATGGGCAAGTGGACACACCTCTGAGTTTCTTCAAGTTTAATGGACTGCTATAATTTGACTAACAACGTTTTAGTTCAATTTTTTTTCTCCATCAACAACAAAAACTAGAACTGATATCAATCAATTTCGTCTTCAAATATTTGCATACGACTTAGTGCACACACAACTTATAGATTTCTTGAGTTGGTATTTTTTTGCAGTTAGAAAGTCATGTACTCCCATGACCTAGTCCGTGAATGAGGTTTTAATAGTATCTGTCAGTTACACATCCCCACCCATTTGTATTGAAAAGTCCTYCTTCYGAGCAATGGTACTGAATAATCAGGTACTTACCATAAGGTTTGACTGTTGTCATAAACTTGGTATTGTCTGATTTGTCCTTACTACTGTCATAAAAATTCAACACATCTAATACAGCCTATGAAGAAATAGCACATATCTTTAAATCAATTTAGAACTTTATAAACTAAATAATTAGTAAACAATCAGCCAAACATCTTCTCACTATTGAATGCATGCTACATGTAATTGCTGATGGAAATTGCTATTTGTCAAACAACCATATATAACACTGGAATGAAAKCTTGTCTCCCAAATTTGTGCTTAATATTAATGCTTTTGTTAGTTCCATCTGTGAATTCCACAGGCATATTACATCAGTGCAGGTTCAATGATGTTTACTAGTATAAAGGTAAAGATTTAGAGTTCACCAATGGATGACATTMAACATTGGTTTTCCTTGCTCTGAAATCAATATTCTCTCTTTTATCTGTTTTTCTATAGAAACTGAGTTTTTATCTCAACCACAAATACCATCAACTCAAAATTTTGGTGTAAAACATGAAATAGGCTAACATCAAAGAATAACCAGTTTAAGAAAATGAACCAATCAGAGTCTAACCTGTGGGTTTTTCTTTTGTTCTGCTTGGGTGATATTTGACACTTGCAATAACCTTGCCCATGCTTCTGGCATACCCTTTAACAAATAACAACCAAATGACTTTTTTAACAAATGGTAGCTACAGATGAATATGGCCAAATATGGCTTTGACAATATTATAATCACAAATATATATTAATAAAACACAATTACAAGAAAATGGTCAACAAGCAAGTATAATTGTGCTTATACCTATGCATGGCAATAGCAGAAGGGTACCAATCATATTTTTACATCTTTAGACAAAGGATTACATGATTTAAGTTTCATGACTCAACAAAAGTGCACACCTCCAACAGAAGGATGTAAAATAATTTGATTAAGGTTAATTTTTTGGCCAGTTACATTTTCATGAATGTTTCTCAAGTCATAATGAGAAATCTAACTCTGACTTTCTTTCGTGTCCTATGCTAAAGAATATACAAGACACTCAGCTTTTGGTATTAACACATAATTTTACTGCTATTTACATCAACAATAATCAATATTGTCTTAAGTTTATGTACATCATAGCTAGATAATAGCTCAGTGATGCATTGACATTTAGCTGAGACTATTGTTTTCCAGACATGCTTGTAAACAACCAGCAACTGGTTTGCTCATTGCCAATTGGGATTTTTTTATACGATTCTTTTTCATGGCAAGTACACAATACAGTTAAAAGCTTCCAGAGGTGTTTTTCTGTTTATCAGTGACAAATAAAACAAATTACCAGTGAGTAATATATAAAATATGAGCGGGAGACCTTTATGCCCGGCATTTAGAACTGCGAGCTGCAAGCGGGCAGTTTTATAGCCCATAAAGGTCGGACGTGAATATTTTATATTGCTTATCAAATTCCAACATAGGCTAAAGCATMTTTTGCTAAAACCTTCAAGATAAAATATTATTTTTAAGAGAAAATTGAAGTTAAARTCATGAAAATCAAGACAAATCTCTTGCTTAAATTAAGATCCGCTCACGGTAATGATCTATCTATTGTGTTTACCTTATGAATCATTAATGAATTTGATAAACTACCTATGACATGAAATGCAGTTTTTAAACAAAATTTAGCAATCTATGCACAGCCCAATGACATAATTTACCTTAACTTCACAGACTAATATTGTAGACTCATCAAGATGAAAGCATGGCTATCGGCTTATCATTCTACTGTCAAGAGTGAAAAAGCTACCTCTTCACACATTACCAAACAAAGTAAGTTCTCCATTACAATTGATATAGACTATTCAACAACTGGGTTGAACAAAAACAATTTATATATTATGAATATAAAATATTATAAACATGAACACTGCCAGGAGCACAAGTAAAAAAACACACAGCATGCRAAGCATTTATTATTATATGCAACAAAGTCTTTACAAAATATACACCATATCCCTTGTCATGCGTTGAGTGCACACATGAAATGCAAGGAAGGAAATATCCTAAATTCAAGACGTTTCCTTAAAGAATAGAGTGCAAGTCACATAAGCATGAAACAATTCTTAACTATGTAGTGCTAAAWAASWTTTAGTTATCAACTAACTAAGAATTGAGAACAATGCTACAAAGGAATTTAAATAATTGGCATTGTGTTTATGCTTTGTTGAATTCTTAGTTAGTTGATAACTAAATCTTATTTAGCAATACATATTAAGAATTGTTTCATGCTTATGTGACGTGCAMTCTAATTACATTTTAATTTACCTTGGTAAAATGTATAAATCAAAATTTAAAACTAAATTAAACTACAAGATAATACATGTGTAAGACTTCAGTGAACCATGTATTAATATCAGTCAGAAAAAKGAAGAATCTTTTAATATTGTTTATATTTGGATAAAAATGACAAAGGAATCAATCAAAAGCAAAGAAATTACAGTTTCATAGCAAACAGTAATCTCCTAAACCATCAAGTGATTTTTTAATGATCTGCAGAGACAAATTAAAGAATTGTTGAGATTATATTAATAAGCTTGTAAAGACTGGTTTAGGAATTATTCCAWGCAATGATCTCAATCATAATGTTGACACTATCTATAACACTTTTCCAGTACAAGACATTCAAAATAAAAGATGAWGGAATCCATTTTATACAAAACAAATACTTCAAAATGATTGAGGGTACAACCAAGAAGTAGTAGAATTCAAAGAGTAATTCCTTTGTCTATGACTTTAAGACGACTCCCTTGAGTCCTAAAAGCTTGGGATCATTAAGATGCAAATCCAGCAGCATTTGAGTCAAACACCTGTTGTATAATCTAAAAATATTTTACTCATTAAATATTGTCCCCAAAGCATGGATGTGCTCTTGGATTTGCCACACTTTRTAAGTTCTCGCTTTTAARCTATGCCAATTTTGTACGTTTTCTTCTAAACATTAGACATAGTTGCTCATAAATAATGCTAGATGTTCGCCATAACAGGTGGGGGGTAGGGCCTGTGCATATCTTAGTGGCGTGAGGGCAAATTTTTAAGCCCGAACGCTGCATTTTTGTACAACTATGCCATAAAACATTGAATAGCCTATCAAAATAAACAGCTTTTAAATCAGACAAAGAAAAACGCCAGTTAAATTAGAATATACTGTTCAAAGTACTCTACATGTCGCACATAGAAAAAGAATATATTTTAGTAATAAGTTAGTAGAATWTTCTAAGCCGGTGTCAAATGTATCTTGTAAACGAAGAAGTTACAGATCATTACCACGCAACGTCAAAATCTATTTATCTCAGTCGCATTCTTTCTGGTTTCTTCTAAGAAAGAAAGAATAGAACATCACACTAAGTTTTTGTACGGTACATCTTTATTTACGGCGAAATCAAATGTAGATTTTTCAGACAAAGGCCGGCTTGTATACTCCAATTTTATGATAATAATTCGTATAATGCCTAGCAAGTTAGCTCTTAAATAAAAGCATTGCAACCAGTGTATGGTCCTAGTTCCTCTATTTATTCAGTATAAAATATTTGTAAAATCATGACAAAGTGTTGAAACTGCGGCAGTGGTCTTCGCTCACGCCGACCAACAAAAACTTTAGCTGAACTGATAGTAGTTAACACAGATGAATACATTTCAAAGGTTTGAACTTCAAAACTGACAAGAGAAAAAAGTTCCACCACTCGCAATCTGTCCTGTCAGATAATTTAACTTGCAGGTTCCAAGTGTCAAACTTTACGTTCAAATGCAAAATATGAACGATGTGCCGGGTTCGAGCTTGGTTTGAGGTTATATGCTGGAGCGTCGGAAATCTGTTTTACCCAGTAACATTATTCACTTAGTATCAAGATATAACGCTTATTGAATAAGTATTTTCCAGTCTAATAAGTAAGTATCGGATYCTCAACATAGGGTGTGTAGTGTTGCCTTCATAACAACACAAATTAGCAGATTTTACTCCCAAAGGTTCAACTTGACAAGAGACGAAATCCTTCTTGGTCATTTGATTTGTGGAATTTTTCGTAAAACTCTAAAAATAAGCTTACCGTGAATTCTCCCGTCACTGGATCAAAACCAACGTGAATCGTATGCTCGAACTGGGTAGGGTAGGATATTTCCGGCTTCTTCTTATTATCTAGAGACGAAGTCAATGAACAAGACGCCATAAGATTTCAAAGTGAAACACACATTTCAAGAGAAAGACCAGCCTTTTGAGTCTCCAAAACCATACATACATTCTCCCTTAGTTGGGAATAGCCTAAACGTTGCGGTTTTCTTCTTCTTCTCTTCAATCGGAGCGCTTGGTAAGGGACGAGAAGCCGGAGAAGATTCTGCTTTGGAAGTGAGTCGGATAGGAGGGGCTGGCGGCCGCTCATCGTCCGCCATTTTGGTGCTGTTGTGGTTGTCTTAGCGTTTCTCCTTGATGAAGTCCTCTCGTTGGAAAGTGTAGAAGGAGAATTGCGCCAAATTCCAGCACTGTTTGCGTTTATCAAGAGTTCATAGTTTGATGAGAAGCCGTCACAGAGATCAGCCAAGGCTCGAGGAAGTCGACTGGGGTGACTCACATTGACGATGACACAATTATTCGATCCCCCTCCCACATCATTGAAAGACCGAGAAGGACTAGACCGAAAAGCCTCCTTCAGTGTCGTCTCCGGAATTTTGTTTTTTTTTCCAAAAAGCCAATCAAAAGCCATCAAAAGTACAAGCCTTAAAGGATTTAAAATATTGTTAACTGGATAATGTTATCGTAATATTAGTATTTCGGCGTYCRCCGTGTCTTGCCGCGGGTTCGGCTGCATCCCTCCCACTCACTTCCTCTTTGGCCTACTCCGGGATCAATATTCTTAAAACAACAAATGTGTGAAAATCACGTATCATTGCTGGATGCTGTGATCAARTCTTTGAAGAATGCAGTCGGCGTTATATTTATTTAGTGCTTCGATGATTTTTTGCCGCCGATTTGATGCATTGGCTCGGAGTGGGACATGTAGAAAAAGAATGACGTGACAAATGCTAACGGAGAGCCTCTAAAAGACTCAAAATCTTTAAAAGGCATTAGTTACTACACCTATCTTACATCATGGTGCATAGACCGTTTGGTCCGAAACGAAGCAAAAAAGGATCTAGGATAAGGGATCAGGGGCGGATCCGAGGTTGCTAGGGAAAGTCCTCATTTTCATTTTTTATATATTTACGGCAATTTTTGATAAACTGTAAATTGATATGATTTGCATGAATTCAGAAAGACAGAAAGAGACACGGAAATTATCACATGAAGTTAAGCAAACTGTTAACCCTTTTGCTTTGAATACGTAAATATCTCAGTAAATAATTACTAATGTATTTGTTATCTTATTATTGTTTTAAAAATGTATACTTATGTCCGCAGTTTTTCGCAAAGGCCTGAAATTTAACGGGTGTACCACAATTGAAACAGGAAAATGTCAACAATGAAAAATATCTAGAATAATAATAATTATTATTCAATATCTAATAAAGAATATTTCTTCAAGATCAACTCTCATTGTTGTTTTTATTTAAAGTGTCCTTTACGTACTAAATCCTTTGAGGGCCTGGACCAATTAACCGCATCCCGCTTATTTYGTTATTTTATTTTTTCGAAATACTCAGTATCCTGTGAGTCAGTTAGTTTTTTCGGGTTTATATTCCTACAGTTTCAAAATCAAGTATCAAATCATCAATTTGAACATTAAAAATTAAAATACCACTTTAAAATCAAAATACCTATAATTTATGGACAGTTTTGACACTTTTTATTCATTTCCATGAAAGAATGACCATTTCATTTTAGAAAAAAAACCCTCACTCATAAACCATAAATGACCCTTGAATTTGTTAAGAATTGACTTAAAGTCTATACTATAGTTGAAATTTTCAATATCTGTGCCATCTCTCCTAGAATAGCAGTCCCCATGAAGGTTTGACCGCTACCCACGTGTCGTCTTGCATCGTCCCGTCACTCCTTCCCATCTCGCCTCGAACACCCTGCATCCCGTGCAATAGTCTGTTCATATTTGACCTGGCTAATGGAATATTTCATTTTGGTCGATTGATCTACTGAATTTTAGCGGTTTTAGGTAGCGATTATACAAGTGCCATTTTTAAATGTTTTCAGTTCACAGTGCCGCAGCTCACTAAGATAAACAGTGGGCCATGAGTCCCACTTTTGTACTATACTAAAAATTAGCATACAAAGCCAGCAAAAATTAAAAAAATGGACTAAACTTCATATCCGCACATCATTTTCATTCTGTACTGGTAGATGTTACGGGCATTTAAATGGCTTTCCTTAATGCTCCATACGCGTAGCTTTACATTAAACAACAATATTGAAACAATAGTCCAATCAATTTGGAACAATCTATTTCCAATCCCATAAAATCTATATCCTGTTACATGTGCAGCATTAATCGCTAAAAAAACGTTCTCTGGACTTTCCAGCAGTATTATGATATTGAGATGTACGCGTTCTGATTTTTTATGATAATAGTTTATGCATCACCGCTTGTGTTTGTTCTTGGTGCCCTATAAATTACTTTGCTTATCATTTTCCTCATTATCCTCTATTAGTTTCAATATTTACTCAAGATTGACAGWAGCATGAAATTAGCTCAAAATTTCATCGATTTTTTCAGTGTAAAAAGAGAGTAACAGTGTTGTACTTGAGYGTCACTTCGCGTGACCAATTACTATTCAAATACTTAATCGTTTATGCTCGATACACAATAAGAAATACGTAAAAGCACCAATACAACAAAGTAGGAACTAGCCATTTCTAATTAATGATAATAATAGTATTAATGTTTGAATTAGAAGATAAGTTTTTAACTAAATATCATATGGTTTGGCAAAGGCTGAAAAATGAACATCTGTTGGGGACGTCAATGTCGATGAATTTCCGAGCAATTTTCTGATTTAAAATCTGATTTCCTCGATTCTTGAACTAACTGGATTATAATCATCGTTTAACAAACATGACACGATTCCTTTCTTCTTGTTGACGTTGTTGAAGTTAACCTTTCACCACAGATTTTTCTCATTTACATATGAAATTAACGCATACTTTTTTTGATAAATCATCGATAGAAGCCCTAGTATTACGAGCTAAAAGCGTAATAAAAACGGTTATAACAGCACAAGGAAATACATCAATAAGTTCTTAAAGATTTCGTTGCACCAAAGTTAGTAGTTTGAAAGTAAGTAATGCACAGTTTGAYCAATGGTTTGACTGAACAAGGCAAGTAAGTYGTGTTATAAAAATTAATCGTAGCATTTCGTGCAACCGAGAGATAGTGTGTATATAAAGGGGATCAGAATCGTTTTCTTACCTCAAGCCTTGGTATATTAACTTGAATTAGAGGCACATTAAGACTGTATTTCTTGATCCCGGCGGATCCACGTCTGAGCTGAGCACCTTTCTCTAGATGTACAGTGGGGATAGATACTTGAACGATCTTTTGATGTTGTGGCGGTGTAACGCGTGTTGGTCTTGATGGCCCCATGACTTGTACATTATCACTGCTGGGTTTGATGTGTTTTATGACGAATTTCTTCTGAACAGTATCTGATTTAGCTTTAACGACGAATGTTTGCTTGATCTGCAATGACTTGGAATCCATATTCTTTCACTATACCTCTAACTCGGCACCACGAGTAAAATAACACTGACTGTCATGTTGTTTTGCCTCAAGATGACATTTGACAGTATTTAGCGGGTCGAGGCTCGGGTAACAAGCCACTTAGGAATATTGACAGTGCTGTAATCGAGTAGTAGACCCAGTCAACCGTGTTACCACTGTGATTGACAGGAAACACGGGTGTTCCGTCCTGAGCATATATGTGACCACATGTATCTGAAAGAGGTGATTTCTACTGAGCACAGAATATCTCTGGGTGGCAGCGTGCCTTTCCTTCACTTACCAGTGTCCATTATGTGCAAAGACACCTGACAAGGAAGACTAAGGCTAAGAGGTAGGTGGGTTAGCGCATTGATTGAGAATTTCAACTGGTCGTCCAGCCTTGGACATGTTACCTGAAAGTATCCAGAAAGACATCAGGTTGACAAAACTATACGTCGTTGCGGATTTTGCGACTGTTGATGCAGCCACTAAACTGGTCACCCCCTAAATCAGACTGCCAATTTGTAAATTCCTGGCGTTTGACTATTAGAAATCAGAAGATATAACCGCATTTCGCGATAAGGGACTGCTTACAATCAATGGAAGGTTTTTTTTGGGGGGGAGAGGAGGGGGGGTGGGAGGGTTGAGTTTGAGAATAGAGCGGAATGATGTGCCCTGTTACAACTGAAACTGAAAAAGGTAGAACAAAATCCCTACCTTCAAAGTTAGAAGACTGTCAAATTGGGTAATTGGTTACTTATTACGACAGGAGCTTGGGGCAGAACTCCCAAGCTAATTGTAGCTTGCACTAATGAACATAATCAGGACGCCCAAAGAAAAGCACTGACCAGTTCCGTCGGGAACTCCAAGCAGTGTTGTCTCCTTTACATTCCTACATTACTAATGTGATGCTGTGGGGAGATGGGTTCACCTCCTCCTTCAAATCCTCTTCTAAAGGCACGTGGCATGCCTTGACCACTTCACAATTAAAGAGTCACGGTAATATTTATGTCAGTAGGAGGGAGGGAATCCTGTTGATATAGAATATGACCCTCATCGCTATGGAATCAGGCTCGTGATGTAGTGGATCAACTGATAGAAGAAATTCATGCCATTGCTTTGTTTGAGGTGCTGCACTGATCATCCAAGAATTTTTATCATAGGTTATTGACTAACTTGACATGGCCTCACAAATCTATTGACATGTATTTATTTGGCATCAAATGGAAATCACTGTGACAATAGACTTCTGAACCTTTTACGTCACTACTTGATTTTCAATGCATTGTGGGATCAGTTTCAAGAGAAAACAGAAATCCGCCATGTTCTGTCCCAAACATATCCTACAATGCATTGCGTATACGGTACATGACGTAAAAGCTGCAGAGGTCTATTCAGGTGAAGAAATAGGCAAGGTTTTCGAATTTTTTAAAGTTTTGCTTCAAATTTGACATTACGATTTGTATGAAAAGAGGGACCCAAAGTTGCCGTAAACTTGCCGGTGACTTTGTGCGATTGATTTTAATCGCCTTTTGGTCGGGCAGTAGTGGCGCTTTAACTCTGTGTAGCTCTGAAGTTACAGCAATAAAATAAACACGTTATTTATAAGTAATAGCATGGCTTCCTCGGGAGATTAGGGATTAAATGTCCCCGAAGCCGAGGGCAGATAAGTTGAAGTCCCGACGGCCGCAGGCCGGAGGGACTTTTACTTATCTGCCCGAGGCTGATTTCCGAGGAAAAAATTGAAGTTGAACTTGAGCGAATTTGAATTCTTGTTTTTTTTGTATGCTCCAATGTTTTCAATTCATGCATGAATTGGAATATGACATGAAAAGAAAGGATACGCACTGTTCTAAGAGTATCACTCGCCGAACAACAGTACAAAATGATATTGATAATCCGACCATTGTTACTGATTTCCCACAACGAACTTTGTTTGAAATTGCTTTTCAGTTCTATTCAATGCTGAAGTTAACGAACCTTAACTTCAACCGCGAAAATTGTTTTTATATTTGCAAGTATAATGCCAAGATGCTTATCAACTATTATCAAACATTGAAATTCGTCAAGTGCACATGCTCAGCGGTACGAAGTAGATACTCGGAACCAGAGCTACTCGGTCAATTTGTCCCAAAAATCATCCCACATTTCAGTGTGAATGAGACGATAACCAGACCGTTCATTGCAGAGGTAAAAAGAAGACAGCTGTAGGGACATTCAGTTGTCCCTGCTGGGAAGCAAAGGTTTCCTTTGCCTTCCGTTCCTCATGAATAACATGAGGGACGATTACTAGTAATCGTCCCTCATCCCATTCATGAGGGAGGGATGTTCGCTTGTAAACATCCCTCGGAAGACAAAAGAATCCGAGGTGATCATGGTATTACTCTAAATATCCAATAGTTTTCACAAACTGGGCCTCACTATCACATGTGAATATCTTAACTGTCGCTGATTACGAAAGCATGCCATGCACAATGCAAATTGTGCCACTTCAATGTGGAGTTAAGCTTTTTGTTTAAGGCGACCTAACTCGGTTCACAACTCATGCCACGTCTCATCAGGGTGACTCAATACAAATATACCCTCAAATAAGACACTCAAATAAGGGATTGAAATTATGCACAAAAATAGCAACTCGTCACCAAGCTGCATCAATCAGCAAGAAAACATGCATGGTTATACAAGTCGCACATATAATTACAATAGACCCCTTGCATGTGACGTCAAAGCAGCTTCATCTGGAGGACAAAACAAAAGATTTTTGCCCCCTTGGGAACTAGAATCCATTGTTTTGTCCTCCAGTTGGAGCTGCATTCCCATGAACTGCAAGGGGTCTATAGGAAGTACCCTGCATTACTAATGAATATCATTATTATATCAGCCAATACATAAGCTTTGGAAATTTTTTAATATGAAATCTTTTGAGCCTTACTGATTCTTACAATATATCTTCTAGCTAGATTGTACAATAGAATTATCGCAAAGGGATAATAATAATAATAATAATAATACCTATGAATATTAAAATTCGTCTAATTTACACAAAACGTTTATTTACAAAAATTTAGGTAGATTCCCTTATTAAGCAGTAAGAATTCGTACTCAACTGCAAATTTAACTCATAATTTTATAAATTTATTCAATAGCCAATAAGAATGTTTTTTTTTTCATGGCAAGAAAATCGGAGACGTCACTGTTTGAAAAAGCGAGAAATTAAATTTTTACTTCACTTTGTAAACCTTGGCAAAAATTTTATATTAAAACGTTTCTTAKTTTCCTTTCAAAATCTCGTTGGCATTTGTGACCTCAAAAGGAACTATTTTCTTATAAGCTACCGAGTTTGTAAAAATATTCATTGGAATTATTCCAGTTTAAAATATGGATAATTTAATGGGTGGCGTACAAAATGATGAGATATTAATGAAATGTCGATGATTATCATTTGAGCAAAACAGGATTCATTGAAGGCATAAGTTGCTCAATCAAAACTGGTTTGAAAACCTTCAGTGCACTTGCCTCATCCGCAGACAGCTTCTGTTTTAACCAGAACAGAAGATGCCAACTTACAAGGTTGATATATATACTATTGTTATGTCATTGCAAGGCATATTTTACTCATTGACACAAGCTGATAYTTGGCTAAAATAAATACAACGCAAAGAATAATTAGTGATACTTCTTGTTCGGGCCCAGCAACGTGATCTTAGAACTGAGACTCGTAATCAGGGTCGTCACTCCAGTAAGTCTTGTTTGCGGGATACCTATGTCGTGAAAGATGCGAGGAGGCTGTTGACGATCGGTAACCACTTGTAGCCTGCAATGTCAGAACCAGGGGTAAACAAATGTACACAGGTTACTTATATCTACAGCACATGCGTGGTATGGTTTATCTGAATTGCGGTTGCTTACCAGTTATGAATCGACTAGAATTATGCATCAGTAAATTTAGAAGTTAAAGATTTTATGGCGTGCAGTTTCCAAATATTTAGCATTTTATAAACGGCTATCAGTGAATATTTTCTAGGAAGACTAGTGTTAGAAAAATAATTTAATGTTTTAATTTCAATTGACTAGAAATACCGGTGATCTAGCCAGCCAATATTGCAATATTGCATAGAGGCTGAGTTTCTATATAAACTAAGGGGAAGTGATTATTGCACAGTGCATACCGTTACGACATTAGCTGACGCCGTCATGATGCGTTGTTACTGATTATACTCGTGCAGTGCATCAACGCCACATGCAAAACTGCGTCGTTATCAAGTGACTTGTTTCTTCATTATCATGAAAAGATAATAGTCGGCTTACCGGGGTGAATGTCATACGTCGAGGCATTCTGATCCGATGGCGAGATCTGGATTGGTTAGAATCTTTAACAGCAAAACACAAACTTTGAGTAATGTCTTCACTTTTTATGTGTAATTAATTCTCCTACAGATCTTTTTTTACTTTATTTATGTAAAATTACTATTTTTATCATTTAGTTCTTTACATTTGACTTTATTTATAGTTAATGCTTTAGGAGAGCATTTTAGCTTTTCTATAGTACAGCTTATTTGGTTTAAAAAGCCTTCATTAAAGCTTAACATTGAGTTGTAGYGAATGCGGTCCTTACTTGGCACAATACTTACAAATGAATTTCTRTCTCGGTAGCTGAAAGACGCTGATCTCCCTACATCCTGTAAACAAACCGAAATAAAGGTTTAGTGCGCTGTGTTTAGCAACTGGTTTTCGATTAAAAGCAAACTGACCATGTTATCTTCTGACAACCAATCACTTGCACTTGCTTCWGACAAAGGCGCGTAATCTGAAAAATATAACATCATTAGGTTATCCCAAGCCCCATGCGGTTAAATTTGTCAGAGGAAGAGTAGGACTAGTTTTCCTTTTTACCTGAGTCGATATCAGCCATCGAGGAAGTTGGGGAGCTAATTCGATGAGAATCCACTGACCGAAAGTTAGAATATTCATCATGAGAGGATATCATACTTGAACTCCCTGAGTCACGTGTCCGCCGCGATGAGGAACGTCCTTGCTTTAACCGTTGTATTTGAGTATTTGCATATTGTAAATCGCACCGTAAGCTACAAGAAYAACAGAGGCATTTCAAAAATGTGCTCATTCTTTCTCGATRCAGTTTAGACTGACCTTTCTCTCGCCATATCTCGCTCTGTTATGATTCCCTATGAACAGAATAGGCTGTTATTATACTATATCCAGAAAGACAACTCAGTTATTTGAGCATTTAAAAATCACAGTCCCTGAAAAAACAACCGTCAGTTTCAAACACCGACCGCCTCTATGGTAAAATCTAGTGATCGATCACCGTCACTTCCAAAGACCGAACACCTATACAGGACTCCCCAATTGTACAAAACGGTCACATCTACTGAACGAACAACTCTACAGAACGACCACCTGCATAGGACGCCCAGTGGAATGACCACTTAACAGAACGACCACCTGCATAGGACGCCCAGTGGAATGACCACTTAACAGAACGACCACCTGCATAGGACGCCCAGTGGAATGACCACTTAACAGAACGACCATCTCCATCGGAAGCCCGTTAGCCATTTCTTATCAGTGTTTACTAACATCATGTTGTAGAATGTTGACAATACATACCAAAAGGGCCGTTAATTGTTCGTTTAGTATAGACGTCGACAAAACCAGTTGTTGCTGGAAATATCAGAAAATTATGTCAAACGATAACCAGCAAAACAGATAAACCGAAATAAAAAAACACACCTGTGGCGAAACATCCCCATCATGTATAGCTCTGTCTAATGACATGGTAGACATCGATCTCGTTATATCCTCCTCACCAGGTCCAGGACTGAGAATATCACTCACAGCCACTGTTAATCGATTCGCTATTGAACAATRAAAACACAGTTTACAAAAGCAACAAAAACTCTCAAAAACTACACAACTAAGTGATGCTACGACAGATTATAACCAATTCTAMTAAGATAAATAAATAAAGGAAAGTTATAGTGCTAGGAAGGAGGTTATTCCGGGAGAATTCCGAGACCCTTGGAAATAAATTCGGAAAAAATAATTTCCGACTTCGCTGGGATTCGAACCCAGGACCCTCGGATTTGYACTACCGATGCTCTACCAGCTGAGCTACGTCCAGCGAGGTAGGAAATTGTATAGTGCCATTCGGCGCTTACATTCATACAATTATAATAAGAACAATAGCTAGAGCACCAATACTAATACTAACACTGCAAYGCCTACCTTGTAGAATTGCTGCCAAGATCAAATCCCTACAAAACGAGATTTTCKTTAGCAAAATGGCACAATAGAAAGAATTCACRGTGATTACTCACCTGGCTTCCATCTGATCCCCATTCACGTGACTCTGCAAGTAACATACARTACATAGCTTGGTATATATCAAAGTAACGCGAACRATTAGATTATACCATACCTCGCCTGCTGATGAATATCCAGACGTCATTCCAGCACCCTACATACACAAACAAAGYAAAAGTCACGATAATATATGTACTTACAAACAGATTAATGTAGGTACACCATCGCACAGACAGACAGACGGTTAGAATACAGGGACAGAGAGACACACTGATAGTACGTCACAYAGAGGTAAGACAGCTACTTTAAAGCAGCAAAAGCTGTTCTCCCTTGATACGCGACTTAAATTGATTGTACATATACCCGCAATTCGGCAACGATTCTCGCCTTATCCTCCAATGTTCGCTTGAGTTCTTCGTCTTTCCCCCGTAGCTGTTCTGCTGAAACACGTCCAGAAAAAAACATATTCAGTGAAGCAAAACGCAACATGTAATCTCTAAAACACCGAAATACTAAACTATTTTCCCCAAGATTTCACATTCAATATTAACATCAAAATACTAACCTATCAATACTATACTAACCTATCAATACTAGCGAAGATCGATTTGACAGACTGCTATCGTCGTGATCATCAATAGAGCAATGACCGTACGATTTTGTATTCTTCATAGTTTCCGTCGACGAACTTGACGACGAGCCAGATTCTGAAAATGCACTTATCACACTCGTCTGCGTGGGAGACTTTTCATCGACGCTTTCTTCATTTGTAAGGTCAGCAACAAATGTCTTGTCGTATAGAGAGGAGAGAGGTGGCACGACAGATATGGGGGGAGGGGAAGGTCGACTTGCCTATAAAGAAAAATAACACCATATAGCACATCATAGTCACGAAGAACTCCAAGAAACGTATTTGTAATAATGAAAAAAACCTTATCAATRCAAGTTGATTGTCCAKTGTGGGGCATGGTTACCCAGTTACCCAAGCCAGAGGCTCATGTAMTAGACTAAATAWCCACTAAAAACGACTATAAAATATATGTATAAAAAAATAAAATATGTACATTGATAAAATTTGATAAATAAGAGCACGACCATCATCCTTTCGTGTGATTTCAGGCATTAATATAACATAAACAACAATTCTAGTGATAAAATCAGCAACAGTGGTTATATATTCACAGMTACTTAGCTAACGTACTCTTATCTGCGGAGGTGGAGGAAGCGGCTCGCTATCTGTAACAGACTCTAGTGGTGGTGGTGGTGGKGGCAGTGGTTCGTTCTCACTTTCTTGATCTTCTCCCGTTTCAGTTTCGGTCTCTGTTTCGGTTTCAGGTTCAGGATGTGGAAGAGAATCTACAGGGATCACAACAACTGAATCCTCCATCTCTCTAGTTGAGCTCGTGGTTTTGCTCTCTTGAACAGACTCTGTGGAATCTTCCTCTTCGTCTTCTTTGTGTTCTTCGTCCTCCTCCTCTTCATTGCTTTTTCCATTTTCTTGCACTGTAGGGGGAGGGGGAGCCATGGAGATTCCTGGGGGAGGAATGCCACCACGTCGTTTCAGAGAGGGCTCGGGTCCACGTGGTGTTACCCCTGCTACAGAGACTCCACCTCTTCGACCTCGGTCTGAATTGATGGTGAAACATCAAACATTAATTAGCCACTGGAGACGMGATGTTAATGTATATTATATTGTAAGTCATACCTCTACATCTGAAAGCTTCTATCGTGTCAGTGACGTGCTTATACCAACTAAAAACAACACAAACTTTGATGCTTATCATAACGTTTACAAATTATGCTATCTTATAAAAGGGTTTACCATTTTCGTTCAGTCATTGTCGCTGCTACCAGTTCGTATATCTGTGGTCCTGCCGTCGATGTACCGACGAGGAAAAACGCTTTTTTATCTGAAAACAAAACAAGATAGCTTTAAACTAAAAAAATCGATTAAAAGAAAAATCGATTTCAGTTAGAAAAAATGGATTGCTGGCAGTAACTAATGATTGAGTGAAGAATTATTATAAATCGACGTACCTGTTGCAACGTTTCTTGTTAAAAGATTATTCAGTTTGAGAATTGGACTATGAGTTTGCTGAAAAAAAATYAGTGTGGAATATATTATTGCGTGTATCAAAGACATTTCGTTATGGTAGTTATGAAAATATGCCAACCCAAACAATATCAACCACTTATACATGTTGGTGGAAACTGAAAGGGTATCACATCACCCCCCCCCCCCCCCCCCCATTAACCTCTCCCCTGAAGAGATTAAATGGAAGACTACTTATTGATTCATTGTCTTGAACTCTATGAAATGCAACAGTTAAAGTATACAGATACTAACCTTTTCTGTCTTTTCTTGATAGTTTGATATATTGGTACTATGACATTTCAGGATTAGTTTGTCATCCTGTTTCTGCAATAGGATTAACATGTCCTCCAGCAATAAAACGTGAAGATCTTCAACAAAAAGTAAATCACGGTTAGGAAATCATTTCGTAATATCTAATATAAACCGAATGATGTATTTTTACCTATCAATTTCTTACTGCTGATTCTCCAAGTCAAAGGACCATCATATACGAGTTTTTTCTTGGTGAGATCAAGTTGCTACAAAAAAAAAAACAAAAAAAACTGAGTCATAACCACAATGATACCTGGCACCTACCTGGTACTGTGAGCGACTTACCTTGAACTCGTCAAACTTTTCAGACATATTATCTATCTGACGTTTGTCGATCTTTTTTTGAAATTCGATTAACCTCTGGAACGATCAATACAAAGAACATAAATATAGCCATATACAACATTGCTTGATATTTATGTGTTACCTGGTGATTTTCACATTCTTTTACACTTTGATTGACCCAGGCGAGAAGATCCTGTAACAAAATACATTAGTCACGAAATATACAGTACCATACATCACTCATGAAATAAACGAATTGTTACCTTGGTACACGTTATTGCTCTTTCAATTTCTTTACTATCTTCTAATGAGCCTAAAAAAGGGAAATAAGATGACAAATACTTCAAAAATCAGAAAAAAGAAAAACGTTTTCTGCACCCCTGTACCTTTTCGTCGTGTAGGGCAGCACAAGAAACGCTATGAGACTTTGGCGTTTATCTACTTACTTGGCGTATTTCTGCTGATGCCTTCCAGCAATAAAGGATACTTTGTAAGTCGCTGATAACTGGTTGAGATTATTTCATTGAGTTTTAGTCTTCGACAAAGCGGGTTTAATTCACAGTTCTAGAATAAAAATCCCATTCGAAATGTTGAATGATGATGATGATAGTGATGATAATTAATAGGGCTATATACTTCCATGGTAACCATTCAGCCAGTAAAGCAGTACCAATTGAAACCTGCTTTTTGATTGCTCCTTAAGTACAGCACCACTATTGTTAGGTTAGGTTTTGTTATATTGTTGGAAGACTTATCTATTGTTTGTCCATTGTTTTCTCAACCTATCATGAGACCCGTTCCGAGCGGTGCTACCTGGCTCCATTCAGCAATGCAAGTTCTCATCTCATTAATATATATGTCGTTAATATTGTAATCTATTGATATCATAATACTGTATTCAGCAATATTCATGGTGCTCAAGAATAGGTCACTGAGGAGAGAGTTTAACAACGCTATAGTTGTTGATACAATGACACGTTATATTAGCGAACGGTTGGAACCATAACCATTGATGATGGTAGTGCAGATGATAGCAATGACAACGGGCACGTCCGATACTTACTGTGATAAATTGTGCAAGCTTTGGATCTTTTGACTTTCGTTGCTGAAAGGCAATGATAAAATAAATGATAAAAGTATTTAGAGAAGAATGGCGACTATAGGGTTGATTTACCTTTAGTTGGTCCAGGGCATATTTTTGATTATTGCAGAATGTTGCACAAGTTTCGCGTGCTCTTTCCCCCGCTTCACCTTCAAACTGAAAGATAAAGTAAAAACAATTGCAAATGACTGTGAACAATWCCTTTTTTAACGCTTGGTGGTCCTACCCTGTCTAGCATAATGTCCCCTATACGAGAGATGACCTCTGATTCTAGCTCTCTTTTTTTCATGGCTTGGAGGAGCGACACTGTATACATAAAACATTAATAACTTGAAAAAGAAAAAGGAAAAAGAATATAGAAAGCAGTCAATACCATGTATCTGAATAAGTTCATCTAAATTGGGAAATAATAACTTGATCATATCATATGGCCAAATGTTCATCTTCTTCATAGGTCTATAAAATACCTGGAAAATACAAGAATAGTGTCATAACCAATTCCAACAATTTCAAACACACACTACTTACTTTATCTAATACTTTAAGGTTTCTAACATGAGTTTTTTCGGTGTGTATAAGTTCTGTTAACAAAGATAAACGATTAGGCATAAAAARCGMAAGCAAGCTCGTTTAATAAGAGTTTCATTATATGACCGTTTTCATTGTTGTTTGAAAAATCCGAAGATAGAAACCAACWTCAAATTTTCTAGAATGAGAAATATCGAGATCAACCAATCAAAAATCAATCAAATCACGGCATTTACTCTCGTCCACGTTCCAATACGCGCGGTCATATAATAAATGGACTTATATAAATATCTATGAATACCTATATTTCTCTATTTCGTAAAGTTGATATTTTCACTAGTGAAAATAACACATTCGATGTTTCTCTGTATAGTAGAAGTAGGAAAAAAGGTATTTTACGACATAATTTGCTTCCGTGTCTCTGCGCGCCCATGTAATATCCTCTATATACCATTAAATTTCCCTTACCATGGATGACTTCTTGTCTTTTTATTTCCTTTTGTTTAAGTTTCTTTAAAATCTGTGACAAATACATAATTAGTAAATTATGATCGTTTTGGCTCATATTCCAAGTATACATAAAATATTTCAGAAATTATGGGATATCATCGCTGATATTTTTTGACGTTACCTAGCACTAGTACTAACCCTAACCCTAACCACTAGTAAAATATTGGCGATGATATCCCATGGATTTCTGATATTTAATATATACTTGAAATATGTGCAAAAAATCATAATTTCAGCGTATTGCTGTATKTAAGTTGAAATAATAGAGAATAGAATTATGCATAAAAGCTGCTCATCTACCTTCTTATCTACAATATTTTGCCATGGTGGTTGTGARTCTGCTTCCATATCGGAGTCCTAAAACAGAAGTAATAGTGTGCCTGTCAATCACTGATTGTCGCAGCATGCTAAAAGTTATAATATGATTGGATAAAGTATAAGTTGATAAACTAACAATAACCAGACTTTCATTAGGCTCACTAAACATTTATACATAAAAAATATGAATAATAGGTTAGCAATGCAGGATGAGATATCCACCATAAATACAGCGATTTTAAAATAATGTCAAAGACTGAAAATACTGTTTAATATGAAATAACTATAGAATACCCCGTATCCAAAAAAGCATCCTATGCCTTGATCTCAGCAACGCGTCAAATTTATTCGGTATACCTGTGTTTATACATGTATACATGTCTTTAAAGAACGAGAAATTCTTATATGTAGTAGTCTCCTCGCAGCCGTGTTTAGTTTCGGTCACGCGTCACGCAACCTGTATGGAGAGGTTGCGTGACGCGTGACTGAAACTAAACAAGGCTGCGAGGAGACTATATATGTAGTGGCTACGCGTCAAAATCGGTATAACTGTGTCTACGCGTTGACGCGTTGACGCGTAGCCAAAAAAATGTCTATAGCAAGGTGGCTACGCGTCAACGCGTAAATGGCTACGCGTTAGTTTTCCATGGTGCGTGGTATTCTGTAGTTGTACCGAAATTTAAGCTCTTGATTCAAAACGTTTCTCATGTTCTCAATCTCAAATATTTATAACACAGGATAGAAACACGGAATGTCCTCTAATGCTTAAATAGTGCATTCCAATACCMAAAATACTCAAGATCACTTCAGTATTGTAAAGTAAATTGCTTTCCATTGAAAGTCTTCACACAAAGGCGGCTTTTCTAGCAGCAAAATGACATCCAATAATGCATTTCGGTCTTGGAATACACTATCACACTATTCAGTACCCAACACTTTTTGAAATTGCTGTATCCATGATAAATAAGGAAATTAAAAGTGACTGGTAAACTCTAGATATTGTTTGTATAAGGGTACAAGGTTATAAAGTAATACTTACGAATTCTTCTTCTATTAAAGGAAAGGTAGCAGAACGTGAGCGTACACGTTGAGCTAATAATAAACACAGCTATTAGTACAAWGTATTTTATAGGTTAAACTATACATGATGTGCTGTTTACATACCCATGCACCAATCTTACATGCTACAGCTAACCAGCTTCAGGAATGCTTGATGTATTTTTGCTTAACTAGAAGTGTTTATTGTTTATACTACATGCATCCAAACATAACATAACTTGTAACTACAGAACAGCATGTCGAGGAATGGGAAGGGGATTGAACTGGATTGAAGACTTGTGTAACGTTTGTTCTTAATTCAGGTAATAATGGATGCAAGCCCCTTATTTTACATTTACCATGTTTCACATTTACTTATTCTAAGAACATAAAACCTTTGGAAATTGATGAGTAGTGATAATACAAGACAAATAACTGTGTTTGTAGATAACAATAATACAAGACAAATAACTGTGTTKGTAGATAACAAGAATACAATGTGGATCATATGGAATTACTAACCATCTTCTGAGACAGCATCCAGTGCTAATGTTGGTGAGTCATTACCCCTGGAAATTAAAACAAGACAGACTTTTAGGGTAAGAATTTATACGGTGTGTTGACAATGTTCCTACCACGGAGGAGTTTGGAAACATCCAGGGGTTTGGGGTTTAAAGAGTCTCTTTTTATCTCAAAGTTCTCCGTGCTGGGATATGGATACTTTCTGGAAACATGCAATACAAGTATTACATCAGCAAGTCAACATTGTAGTTCTCACCTTGCAACACAAAGAGCATCTAAATCATTATCTCTGTTAAAGCTGCAAAATAAGATATTGAACATATTCAAAACAAGAAGAACACACTCTTTTAATGGGGACAATAACCATTGATGTAAATCATGATGTCCCTTCATTAGAACTATTTCTCTACCATTTTACTTACAAGTCTCCACCAGCAACTGACTTTCTTGATCTATTCATGATACCTCCTGACACAATAGGTTTCTTGCGAGCTATTTCTTTCTACAAGGATTAGAAAAAAAGATATGTTTTWAGTAGTAGTTTTGTTATGAATTTGTGCTGGAAAAGTACTTACTGGTGTTTTTACACTCTCTGATCTTATGACGAATTTCCTTGAAGCGAACAGTTCATGATTACTATATATGAAGAAATTGGAAAAAGGCGAATGTGAACAATGAAAGCATAAGTATGATAACATAGCATAATGGTATAAATATGTAATGTACCTTTTCTTGACAGTGTTGGCTGATGCAGGAGGGATAATCATTTCCTTTAGCACAAAGAAAAACCATTACAATCATATATTAAACTACAAACCATGAAGCATTAAAACATACCTCTGGTGATGACATAGGCCTATTAAAACAAAATGTGTAATTAGACAATAGGAATAAAATGAAGAAATGACAACTGCAGGGAAAATGTACCTATCATCTCCTTCAGAGCAAGATTCAATGTCACCACCATCTTCACTTTTGGGATATAATCTGCTAAGAAATCAATGCTCATGTTATGCCTTGGATTTTATATGTTATTATAACTATTCTATTTGTGCTTGTAATTCTACTTAAAAATTGGTAAGTGGACTTACTTTTCTTTTCTTGGAGGCTGTTGAGTAATGGAAAATAAAAGAATTAACAGAAGTGATCAAAAGCTGAATTAATAGCATGCAATCATCAGCATAGGAACAATGTCAAGAGTGTTGTAGTAACTACTCACCAAATTCTCATCTGTTGTGACCTCTACTTCTCTGGATTCTAGGAATGGAATATACTGGTTACTGCAAATGTCAATGTTTTGAAAGTTAATAAATATCATACCATCATTAACATCGCCATCTTTGTCTTTGACTGGTTGGTTATAGGCTGGGATGAATTGATAGTTTGTTACATGGCGTCCATCTGAAAATAATAGTCAATCCATAACTATAATTACAGTAGTCAGACAAGCATACAGTCTTGTGTTATTCCTTTAAGTAAAAACCCTGCACAATAAATTGAGTGTTTCTGTACCTCCTGCACTTGATACTGATCTATTTGGAAGAGCTGTTCTTCTTGTAGATCCTGACCCATTTCCTTTCTGTATTCACAAAGCAATAACACATTGAAAACAATGACAGGCACATGAACTGATGGCTGACTTTAATGTATACCTTTGATCGTTTTGATTTTGGCCCAGGACAGGTTTCTTCGATTGATTCAAAACATGCTTTGTGAACATTATAATCACAAACTGGAATAAACGAAAAACACAACTAATTGAGAGCATTGTATTAGCACCATAGCAGTACCACAAAATAATATTATTGAGAAAAAATAATGAAAGCTGTTAGATACCACATSGAATCCACATACCAGTGCATTGATAGCCTTGATCAGCAACTCCCCACAGTAGACCCCCACAGTAGTTACAAAAGGTAATGTTGGTATAGTGGGTACTCACTACATGATGGCCTTTTATCTGGATAAACACACATATATTACATGGAATAGTCACAATGAAACTTGTCCAAGATAATGTCATCAAACAAAGACTTTGTTTATCTATCTGTGCTTTGAGCATCTATACGATTAAACTCATGAATATGAGGGCCGCATGGCACTATGATAGACATGATATAGAAATGAAAGAAAGTTATASTGCTTAGAAGGAGGCAATTCCAGGAGAAAGACCCTTAGGAATAAATTCAGAAAAATTAATTTCCGACCTCGCTGGGAATCGGAAATGGGGAATYGAACCCACGAGCTCAGCTGGTAGAGCATTGGTAGTACAAATCCGAAGCCGGTCTTGGATTCGATTCCSAGMGAGGTCGGAAATTAATTTTTCAGGATTTATTCCTAAGGGTCTTTCTCCTGGAATTGCCTCCTTCTAAGCACTATAACTTTCTTTCATTTCTATATGATTAAACTCACCTTTTTGCTGGTTTTAATTTTAAATAATGACTTTCCTTCTTTTTGAGTAAAACTTGAACATTTTTCTAAAATATTTGCATGGTTGGAACCAGGCTAAAATGGATATAAAATACTATTATTAGTGAAAGGCTGACTAATACAGTAACAAATGAAATATAATGAGTAATTTAAGCAAAAATAAAATAACCTGAAATGATAATTATAACAATGATGATAAGACATGCTTTACATGTACCTTGACTGGTAAACCAGCTTGCTTCATAAATGTTGTCAAAGCAGATGCCATGGCAGAGCTGGTAAAAAATAAATGAATGAATTGCTTTGATGTGAACAATGAATACATGATAGCACTGATTACCTTCTATCATATTCTGCACTGTTAGGAGGTGATGAACTTAGTTCCATTCTAATAGAATAAAAAAATATCATTATATCTGCAAACTTTCACAGTATACAAACCAAAAAGGAGAATATCATTGGTTTAGTGTCTAACATTTTTCCTCTTCAACCGTCTAGATTCAGTGATAAAGATGAGTCAGCAGCCCCTAACCCAGCACACACCCAATGTAATTATCTTAAAATACTGTCAGTTGCATTGAGATGTTGTAATGAGCATTTTTACTCTGACAAATGTTGAGAAATGTTTACAAAAACTWACAATGAATTTTCCAGGTGATGAAGAAGAATATGTTCCACAACTTCCATCTCTTTATTTCTATCCATATTTTCATCTGAAAAGGAAAACATTGAAGTATAGAGAATTATATTAAGTATTTGCCTAATTAATATTGGAAATACTACATCTGTACCTTCTAACTGATTATCACCAAACAAACTCCCCAGACCAAGAGCCCTTTTGCTTCTAAAGTCTGCCAGTTGTTCATTGATTTCACTGGTACAAGCCGAACTGTAATTYAAGAATATCACAATACAATTTTTATATCACATTACTATAAATRTGATGAATATTTATTTCCTGATATTTTTCATAATATTGAAGTATTAACTGACCTTGCAGGTACAAATAGGTCTCTCAAGGTTTCTTCACTACATTCCTTTCCTAGAGTAGCCTCTACAGACAAACACAAAAATGCTTTGTTAGCAAACACTCATATACTTAAAGGGATACAATKATATCAAAAGTTTGATTAATCTCAAAATGAATGTGAGAAATGGCAACCACGATTCATAAAGGAAATGAAATTCTTCGTATCTGGCATATATAATATGATGAATTTATTTGGATCTYTTGGTCTTATATTGTATGCCTTTATCAGTGAATGTTTAAATAGAGACGGTTGCTACTGACACACACCTGAAGCTACATCTACAATACTGCAAGGACATTATAGGAATATCATAAACAACTATATACTTGAAGCATTATTTATTTAAGAAATATAAAACGGCGCACGTGTCTCTGTCCTCTGATATAAACATGRTGGGAGTTTGAAAAACACAAGAGAAGCAAGCTCCCACCGTGTTTATATCAGAGGACAAAGACACAAGCGGCCGTTTTATATTTTCATAAGAAAATTTTGCCAGTAAGCYGTGTCTCTGTCCTCTGATATAAACACGGTCGTCAGCCAATCAGAGCGCGTGTTATATATCAAAAATTTTATAATGAACTTTACCTAACCTGTAAATTCTAGATGTGTACGTGCAAGAAGTTTTAGAACTACGTGTGTGTCAATAACAACTGTCTCTTTGTAAACTTTTAGACTGAAACATCTGAACAACTTTTGAATTATATATCTAAGCCAGARACAAATAATTTCATTATTCAATTTGTTGAAATTTTTAATAAATTTCAATGGTATTACAACACWTTTTTTCTCCGCAACATTTTGACMAAAAGGTGTCATTTTCAAGAGTGAGTTTTATTTTATTAGTTTTTTTCGCATGGTCGTTTTGAATATATCTTCAGTCTTCTGAACAATGTTAGAATAATTTAGAGTTCAACTGGACATTAAYTGAGAGCTTTGTGTTTTTGATAAACAGCATTACTTATATTCCATTGAAATCTAAAAACACCTTGTTCTATATATTCATAGTTTTATATTATCRCTAGAAAGAACGAGAAAGCTTCATCATGTTCAAATACCACTTAAATATACTGCTGGCACATTTGAMTGTATCAAGGCAACAAGGTTTAGTCACTCACCAATAGCTTGAACAATTCCTTTATCAATGTCAACTTTGAGTGGCTGATAAGAAATAACAAAGGCATTTTCTATTATCACTTGGCATAACATTTCTTAGTTTTGACTCTACATTTGATAAAAAATAAAATATAAGTACAAAACATAAATGAATAAAACATACTGCTTTGTCAGCTAAGAAAGAGGAATAAATTTCGTAAGACCATTTCCTCATTTCCTTGTAATTGCCTTCTCTATGTGAGTCTGTGACAAGCCAGAAAAACTGAAAGACAACATTTAGACTGTTASCAGCTAATCAATTGAAAACACCATGAATAATATAATTGATTAATGTGGTTTTGTCTGTAATTTGTAGAGTAAAAACTAAATGCAACGACGTTTTGAACCATTTTATTTTTATGCTGGAATAATAGTATTGTATGAAATAAAACAAATAATTCTAACYAATTCATATTGTATCTACAGTGCAAAACGACAGGATAATTAAACAAATAACAACAACAAAACATGACTGAATACCTACCAAGCTACTTGGGTCACTATTTGAGATAAGATAATGCAGAAAGACAGCTAAGTGGGCTGCAAAAGAAAATASAAAAAACACTTGATACTCCAATTTCAAGTTCTGGTTAGCCTCAAAACCAAGCAACATATTCTTTTGTCTCACTTATAGCMCAAGAAAATGCACATTCACTCAATTAGGAATCTTTTGYAGACAAATGAGAGCATTGGAGAATTTGAACCGGAGAATKACATGGTCACCTAGTTAACATTATTTCTGTATTCAAATCACTAAATTCTCATTTTGACTCCTGACTCACTCACACGATCACAACTGCTCAATCACACCAGTCATTGATTCTCACACCATTTACATTTCAGACAGAGTTCAGACCACTTTCAAATTACAAATACACACTACAATGCAGTGATCATTAWTGATATCATTATACTATCTTATATTGCATTACCAGGTTTATTTTTGAGAAGCTCCAGATCATTAAATGGTCCATGTTCCTCTCCAAACTAAACAAACAATACATTTAGATTAAATTCAGTCATTATTATGGTTACAAATATGTACTTGYTCTTGTATCAAGTTTTGTTTTTCTTTATTACATATAGATTTCTTTATTATTTTATTGTGCACCATAGCTCAATTTTACCTTTTCATCATCAGAAAGAAATTCATCATCATCCTGGCCAAGAATTTGCATCTGTGTCTTGGGCTTTGTATCTTGTTTTATTTTATTGTCATTCACAAACACATTATCACTAGATTCATTTGACAGTCTTGATCCACTACGTTCTCTTTTCTCTGCTGGTTCTATGTCTGGAGTAGGTGAACTTCCACTTGCTCTTTTATCTGCCTCTCCCCATGCATTTGGTATCGTAAGTGGTGACTAAAAAACAAAACATAAGGTAGTGTCCTCCATTAAATTCTTCAAAGAAAACACAGCAAGGCAACTTTACACGTTGCTTTATATGCCTGAACCCAGATAGGTTGTATTCATAACACCATAGCTGACATCACAACGTTAACTTCTACTTTTACTGGGTAAGTCATTATGAGAATACATAATAACCWCATCTATATTACTTATATGAAAAGTAGAAAACTAGATACTTTAAACACATCAATATTCATATTAATCTTTTAGTTTTTAGCATCATAACTRATACATGTATCCTGATCCCACACAAATAATAAACAATTTTATACCTAAATAATTTATGGCTCTCCATTTATTATCAAATAATTATGGCCATCATCATTTACATTATAAACACCGACATGACATCTAATTTAAAAATTGCCTTTAGATACAATAAAAAAACCTGTAAGATAGAAAGGGATTTTTTTTTAATTAGCAATTTTAATAATTGTATTAACTTTTTAACATGAACATTTTCAACATTTGATTCATTACRGACGGTGCTTGGAAACAGTTGTCCAATTTAATCTCCACTTGAGGAGACACTTGCACTCTCTCATAAGTTGCCACACACAGCAGTCTTATTCTATTGTTTTAAAGCAWTGGTAAGGAAAACAAGATGCTAACACACTGAAAAGTCATCACTGATTTCTACCATAAATGAAYTAAGGTAGAATTCTGTTTTATATTGCTATTTTCTACACATCTTGTCTAGGTCAAGCATTACACTATGGTATTTGTTGCTTTCAGTGTTAATTTCACATACTAGACAGGCAACTCCTACTACTGACTATTTATCATTATACAAAGTCTCACTGCTTTATAACCGTTAGTTAAAAGTAATTAAAAATAAATTATTGACATTTTTTATTATAATTGTAAAAACAAGAAAAATTAAAGCGTTCATTATCATGACATTATGGCTTTGATTGTCATCTGTAGCTCAGAATAYATTGGTGTAATTCATTTTCTTTTCTAAGATTGTTTACATTTATCATTTATTAACATAATTGTTAATATAATATGAACATTAGTGTTATTTACTGATTACAATAGAATGACATGGTTTATGTATGACAAGAGTGTCATTAGTTTGGTCAGACTTTGGGGTGCACAACATTAACAGAATAACCAATAGGGCTGTAGGACATCCATTTTGTATTCTTGCCAATATTGCTTTCTATCCTGACAAAAAACCTGCTAACACCCACCCTCTTATCGTTGAAAGACTTTCTGAGAAATGATGGYGAGGGAGGAGTAAATCCATTAGATATTAATTCACCCAGGCTGTATTTCTTGTCTTTTGACTTTTTTCTTTTTGCATTATCTTCACCGACAGGACGAAAAAATGCCTCTGGATTGGAATGTTGTCTGAGCTGACCAGTCTCTGGAAACTGCAATGTTACATGGGAAGGTTTGYGCAGCATGAATGGAATGTTCTTTCGCAGTATGAATGAAACTGACTGCATAGTAATGTGCAATTTAGGTGCTTAGATGTGTTATATTTCTGTAATATTAATGATTTAACAGTGATATGTGACATCATAATTACTACCTATAGGTAAATCTCTTCACATGACTAATCAACCAAATCAGTCATTAAAACAATCAATCCATAAAATTCATTGCCCTAAAATACCTTTATTCTGACTATAAAACTGATATTTATTTACTTCAATATAATATGATATTATATACTATGTCACCTATGCTTATTTTGAATTATAAGTGCAGTTATATTAAATCCTTRAGTGTTTGTGCTGTCATACTTACAATAGGATTTTGTTTATTGCGTAATCTCCCAGGAAGCGTCCTGGACTTAGATGACTTAGCACTTTTAATACCATCAATTTTTGACTGTAGACAATTGAATAAAATATACTATATATTCACTGTATTAGTATAGATTAGTCATTAGAATAATGAAAGATATAAAACYGTCTCAATTGCGTAACAAATCCTGATTTCCTAGTGCCTATTCTTCAAGAGGTTTACTTCTCATAACCCATGCATCATAAACAACTTCTTGATTTTCATGTTAAAGATTACTGTTTCAAAACTAACTATGTCAATAGTATGTGCCAATTCTTAGGCTCCCTGCTAACTTGATTATTATAACATTTGCTATGTACTGAACAAAAGGGCATGAACTACTAGGACTGAGTAACATCCTTTGTACAACTTCCATTTGTTCTTCTTTGCATAATGAGGGAATGAGAGTCCTTATTGTGTATATCAAAACTGTGCACATGTACGACCATGTATGGAGAAGTCATACATCAGATCCTTCTAACAGTTCTTGATCAACATAGTGTACTAGCTCTAACTTAATATTTCTAAGAATTATCASATCATTCTATACATAACAAATATACAAATAGACCTACAGACATGAATGAAATACTAATTTTACAAAAATTGATTTATTATTGGTAACACTTTTTAGAAATGATAAACTTCCCAGGTTGCTATTWAATAGCAATGGGTAGTTCCAGAAAATATCCGTACCATACGACGGGCGGCATCGATTTCCGACCCCCCCTCTCCTTGGGAAATTCCGAAATTGGGTATCCCCCCTCCCCTTAGGAATTCCAAAATCGTGTTTTGCCCCCCTAGGAAATTAATTTCCCCCCTTGGTAATGAATGAGAATACATATTCTCTTCAAAACAAGCACTGTTTTAGAGAACGCAATCGTAAAACTGTGTTCGAAAACAATGCATCGTCTGGATTCGTGGAAGTGCTTAAAAGCACGCAAAAATCATTGCCATTGGAATTACTTATCTTATACCTTGTATAGTTAATTTCTATTAACAAGTGTTCAAAGTAGTGAGACTCGCATGAAAAAAATACTACGCATGGTGATCTGCGCCGATCACGGACCCACGCAGATGCTTTAAACTTTGTTAAAATGACTCGAGAATAGGCTGTGTTGCTTTCAATGTACGTATTTTGAATTCATATACAGTTTTAGATGTTTTTGTCATGGTTTTCAAACGTTTTTATAGTGWTTTTTTCGTGATCAACGTAAGTCCCTGTTGAAGGTGTCGAAGGTCGTTTTCTATAAGACATAATATGTCTATAATTCCCCTCCCCCCTCCTTTGGATTTCCGAAATCGTTCAGCCCCCCTCCCCTTTGGAATTCCCAAATCGATGACCCCCCCTCCCCTCTGGATTTCCGAAATGCCGCCCGTCGTATGGTACGGATATTTTCTGGAACTACCCAATACAAAAAATTGTTATACTTACCCCAAGGTCACTTTTAGCTCTGTGATCTGGTTGGATGAGAGGAAAAGTCTTGTCACCTTCAAAACTGCCATTTGTAATGTTGTTTTTGTTAGAAAGCCATTCGCTCTCTGAAAGGGACCGTGGAATTTGCCCAACATTGTGTGTCCTTCCAGCAGGTGCAGATAAGGGTCCATTATTAGATTGCAATGCCTGAATAATAAAACCAATTTTCTCATTGACTAGTAAAAACATCATGTATTGTCATTCTAGGAAATTTATGTTGCTAGGTAGCTTCATTATAATAGTAGGTGCTATGTTTCTCTAGCAAAACTTTATTAAATTCAAAAAAAACTAAAAACACTAAGCTTTCGGACGGTCGTCCATCATCAGAGTAAACTAAAAGGCATAAAACAAAAGTTTTGCTAGAGAAACATAGCACCTACTATTATAATGTATTGTCATGGTGATAAGCTTTCATATCATGTATGTATATGGTAAATAATATACCTGTTCATATCTGTTACTCCCACATAAAGCAGCCAATTCAGCCTCAAATGCTTTGATGCGAGTGGTGGATTCAGCAAGCTGAAAAATAAAGGTTTACTTTCATTTTTACTACGTGGTTGTTTTTGTATTTGATAAACCAATTAGATGGATAAGCCCTGGCTTTCTTTAATGCTTCTATCCATTTGTAAGAAGATATGATGATGATTAGTAGTTTCTAGTTTTAATAAGTTTTACTAATGCTATAAATATGAACAACATAGGTTGGTAGGTAACAGGGTTAAACTGTTTCAGTTCAAACAATACAAAACCATTAAAAGAACCTAGATCTTGTTCAATTRTCTTGTTAAATGACTATCAAATTGATTAATAATTCTTATCAAATTCATTAATAATTTAGAAGGTAAACACAATGGAAAATCATTGCCGTGACCGCATMTTTATATGAGCAMGAGATTTGTCCTGATTTGCTTYGATTTTCTCTTAAAAATAAATATTTTATCTTGAAGTTTTTAGTAAAATATGCTTAATCTTATGTTGGAATTTGATAAGCAATATAAAATATTAGAGTTCATGACATCATTTATGGGTTCTAATTTAAATGCCCTTCAAAAACTCATACATAATTAATGAGTTATTAGCCCAATAGAATGAACCTATTTGGTCACATGCATGGACATTCTTATCTGATAAAACACTCCTTATTAGTATTCTTTACTTTCAAAAGAAGAAGAATATAACTTTCACATTCTTTAGTAACTCAAACACTCACTAGCTTTTGTARTTTTTCAGATGGCTTCTTGGTGTATTCCTCTCTTGTTTTCTTTAAATAAAAATAATGCAACAACTTTTTAACAATGAGTAAAATAAAACACTAAAAAAAAGAGAAGCAACTTATACTTTGCTTTACTAAAATCAAAATTGATTAACTATGTTCAGCATATAATAGCACTATAATTCCATTACAATACACATTCAAAGAGTAATAAAATCAATTAAAGTATGCTGCTATGATTATCTCTAACCATTATCATCTATCCACTGTAGTGGACAGCAGTATACATGGCTTGGTGGGTGGGTTGTCTCAAAGTACTCTGTCCATAGTTAGGACAAGAATAGACAATACATGCAGTTCCCATTAATATAATCAAACCAGAGGAATATGCAATACTCATTATTATGCAAATTTCATGCTTTATTTCTAGAAGTGAAAATAGCTTATTACCTCATAAAACGCCCTTTCTTGGTCCAATGTACGCTTAACTGACATAGTCTTTTCATCTTTACAGTGGTCTCTTGTCTGAAGGGATGTGAATAAAAATGAAAGATAACATCAATTGCGAGACAAATATATCATCCCTTTTGAAATTGAACAATCTTTTCTCAACAAATGTACAACARTGGGTAACAGAAGAAAAGCAAATTGTAATAATATAAACCACATAACAAACCGGTGATTGGGGAGGATGAGATGCTACTTGGTCTGKTGGTGGAGAGGAGGATCCTTTGGAGGAAAAAACAAAACATTATAATATGTCAAATCAATGCACAAATAAAAAAATCACACTTCACTAACTGCCTGTTTCTACCTCAATAAAGTAGCTTGAAGCACTAGACTCTCTGTGTTACACACACTTGTCTGCTAAGATACAATAATTATAATTTCCTAAAGTGAATGACTATACAAAGTAAACTACAAACCTGATGGAGGAGCTGGAGGCTTTCCAAGGAGTGTGAGGGCAACAAATGAACCAGCTATAGAAAAGGAAGTATTCCTTCTTTTAGATCAATTACAATTACATGATAGAATGGTAGCATGTGCAAACCATATTAGTTGCTGATAAAGGTAAAAACCTGTCCTGAATAATTGTAATAACACTTCAAGTTGGAGTCCTGAATCCACAGGTGTTTAATATATTTGACAATAAATTGTTGTCTCAATAGCTGAAATATCTAGCGATATTGAAAGCTCTGATGTAGATTATAAATTWATTATCTGATTACAGATTATAAAGATGCTACATGTATACCAGTACAGTCGAATCTCGATTATCTGGACTTTTCGATTATCCAGGCTTGTGTCTTGGGTCCCATTTTTTTCATGATTATTAATGAGATGTGATCTCGGAAAAGTGTGCTAAAAAACCTTGAGTTAAACCTTCCAAAAGAGTATTTACAATCTTGAATATACAAGTATTTGTAATAAACACTGAATACAGCTATATTGATGTTAAATCACTAAAACTATGTCTATGAAATGCAAGTAACCAAACTCTGTCAAGTATAGGATAAGTAAACACCAAGTCTTGGACATAAGTAAAAACAAACCTGAAGTTCACCAAAAGTCCYGAGACGAGTKAAGGCCTTAAACGAAATTATCTACAGATTGCAAACRACGAGATTCTAGAGAAAGTTCTGTACACCTGGTTAATCCAACAACGATCAAGAGGAACAYTTATTTCAGGCCCGCTTCTACAAGAAGAAGCAAAACATTTCTTCTCACAATTRAACACTGAGTCAGCCGATCGTGAAGGCTTTAAGTGTCAACCGGGATTTCTTTTGTTTACATTATTGTCTCATTAATATTCATATTTTCGATTATCCGGACTCTTGATTATCCGGACTTTTCAGTCCGATCCCAATGGGTCTGGATAATCGAGGTTCGGCTGTACATAACAAAATATACTTACATTTGATGAGTTCAACAACATCAATGTGGTTTAGGTGAGTTACAATTGTACCATTGACCTAGACAAATATTTACTATTAGTATTTCAATGGATAATTAATCATGGTGTCAAAAAGATAATACCTTCATAATCCTATCACCAATCTGCACTCCAGCTCTTTTGGCAGCACCATCTTCAATAAAAATGTACTTGATTAATCATCCAAATGCACTCAACTTATATTTACTAAATAAATGTATATGCCTGGTGTTGTTCTTATATCCATATAATTATTGTATAATTCAAGAAAATATTTGACATATTCCTTATGACAGTAACATTTTAAAGGCAATGTAGGTTACTTCATGAACTTTGGTAAAATACAACTTAACAAATTGTGAAAAGAATTCATTCATTGTTTTTTTCATTCTCTCCCAATAACCAAGTGCTCTTACCATCTTTCACAGACTGTACATAGACAGGATTATCTCCTGTCACAGTAAGACCATAACCTTTCTCATCACGCTGGACAATCACGCAACGTTGTATCAAATGTTGACCTGTAAATCAAACAATCCTTCTTTTCATTTAATGCTCTCACACTATGCTGGTGTATATACTTGACAAGCTTTAACAGTTTTTGACAAAATCAAATAGTACACCTACAATCATAGGACAGACCTAATATCATATCTATTTACAACATTCCATAATACACTTAAGAAAACTTATGTATGTTGGTTTTAACCTCTAGTGTGTTATATATTGAAATACCAGTGACAAAGAATGAGAAGATCTATTAAATCAACATCAGCCCATAGCAACAATTCCTCAACTGAAACTTGCATAATACATGATGCACATTTCTGTCAACAATGCCTTTCTTCAAGTGCTGAAATTTCAATGATTGGTCCAAAGTTKTAATCCCTGTGCTTARATGCCCTCAAGTGAGTAATTATTCCCATGCACAAAAGAAATGCAYAAAAGAAATGCACAAAAGAAAAAAATAAATTGCATGAAATACGAAGTTGAAAGGAAAGGTAGATTACAGCAAGTCTTCATTTAGATGCCAAATATGGAAAATCTACAGATTGCAATCATTCCAGTCATAGGGATCTCACCTTGCATTGTGACTCACAAAGGTCAAGTTCTTGTATTTATAGACAACACATATTAAAAATAAACACCCTACAAGCTGGATATAGTTTCATTTATCAATGATTACATCTAAAGACATGAAAATATGAGATTAAAACCACTACCAAAAAAATGCCAGTTCTCTTGTATTTGATGCTTAAGGCTACTGAATTGTTTATTACTAGAAATTCCATGATCAAATTATGGATACCACCATATGTGGACTGATTTATAATTTGCTGAGTGAGAGAAGATAAATCATGGCTATTATTATACTTATAAATCAAATCAGAATGTAATCAAATTYCCTTCATACAAACAGTGCCCACTCTTCACATGCCCTATAATACTAATTACCATAGTTAATAAGCTAAAACTTAAAATAGGCTTTTAAATAGTTTWAAAAAAATCTAAAATACTTGAGATGATATGGATTGCAATGTCAAGGAGAAAGATGTACAGAATACTTGCTAGTTTTTGCAAACTTTTTAAATTTGCCAGAAGTCAGACTCTTTTCGACTCACAAAAAAAGAGAGGACATTTCAAGAATTTGGTAAAMATTTTGATTAAGGAAGCCTAGGGTGTAAAGGGGACTTTGTCAAAGTCTAGAAACACCTCTGGATAAAATGTAGGAGGTGCATACAAATAAATAGAAATCTTTGACTCTTTCATTACATTGTAAACAAAAGATTATCTGTATTACCATAGTTACAAGGTAAATGAAATTTGATATGTATAGAGTCAATTTTGTATGAGTGAGAAATGGACGGTACTGTACTGTAACTGTAATCGTACTGTAACCAAATTCTAGTGTCTCATTGCTTCACAAAAAAATGTACAGCCAGATCCGGTAACTGTGCGGTAACCGTGGTAATTTCTACCGTACGTTTCCCACTCATACGAAATTGACTATAGTTTAAAACACGAGAGAGAGAGAGTGCTTTATCAGATATAAAGGTCCATGCATGTGACCAAATAGGCTCATTCTATTGGCATAAAAACTCATTAATTATGCATGCTTTTTGAAATACGTATGACAAATTACATCAACACTTAAAACAAGTTTTTACATCACTAATGTTGCCAGTACATGAGGATGATCAAACCAGCTACTTTTGCAATGACATGTTGTCTTTCTTTTATACATTATCATGTCATGCTTCATTTAATAACTGTCTGATTTGTAAATGCATATAGRAATGTCTTGAGTTCAGTAAGAGTGATTAGTAAGGTTGAGAACTATGCCAAGAAATCYTCCCCAAGAATATAATGAATGCCAAAAACTGTTGAGAAATTTTATTCCAAAGGTTGTAGTATTAGTTTAGAAATTGTTTAGTTCTTTTAAGTAGAGGATTGTGCATAAGTTATYGTAGAACATGAAACCTTTAGAAATGGGATGATTATGAATACATGGTAACTTGTTGTAAAATATTAACCTTACAGTGAAAGGAAGAGAAAGTTGGTTCCTAACCAATACTAAGTGTGTACATCTAGAAGCTATGTTTCTCTAGACAGTGATATTGCCATGCACTCACTGGATAATCCTTATCATCCTTAATAAAACACATTTTTTTCCAAATGCAACTTCTTAAAAAAAGTATAGAAAAACAAATTATTGAAAATAGGTATTTTTCAAGATTAATTATATGCAAACAGCAGTAAACAAWKTAAGAGGAATTGTCAAACTTTAAACAAAATGAGACCACAATGGAACAACATGATCACTGATAACGAAAGACTAATTTCCAAGTTATCAAAAAATGTCACATGAAAAAGATGATAGTTTTATAGTTAAGACTTTGCATGTTGTTAATTATTAAAATGAAAAAAACAAATCCAACAAAGGATCTAGACAATTCAGAATTCTGTAATAAAAGTATAATATAGATATAAAACAGGTGTCAGCTGCAACTGACCGTTTTATTGCTATAACCTGGTAAAAAGGTACAAGTAACTGGGTTAATTAAAATATTTTAAGACATATTAGTAATGTTTTGATAATTTTTCATAATAATTCGGACAATAGATAACATGATATTGATCAAACCAGTCAGCACTATTTTTATAAAGATCTATGTACATACTCAAATGTGATACTTTAAGAAAACAACATTCAAACCTCATCCCTAAAAATAACCAGTATAAACAAAACTATGAAATCAACCCCATATAAATGTGTGAAAAAGCTTTAGGAAATATGATTTTAATCCACATACACCTGGTGTGACAGTATTAATACTTTCTAGAATACTCCTCGCCTATAATAGCAAAGCATTATCTACCAATCTGTACAGTTTTTGAGAAATTTACAGAAATAAAATCTTATGTAATTCACTCTTTCTATTCCAGATTGAACATAACATGCATTTAATGCTTGGTTGTTAATATATTCAGACACTTTGTTTCCTAGATAAATGGAAACATTTAGAAATATTAAGTCATTTGAATACATTATATCATGCTTACAAGAATATCCAATATCAAATTTAAAAATCCCAATCAAACTGTAGACTATCCATTTATTTATCTGCAGTTTTAGATTTCCTGAAAATATTTAAGCACCATCTTTTATCAAATATCTACGCTAAACTTTGCTTTGTAAGRACTACACTAACATAAAATATTATGATTAGAATGAAAGACAATCTAATAAGAATGGGGCTCATATTATATTTGTTCTTAACATATTACACAGGAAGCCCAGAAGGTTAGAAGAAAATCACCAAAAAATATATGTAATTTGATGAGCCATTAAATTTCAAGGAACTACAGAAAAATTGACAAAAGTGATAGTACTACAATGCACATTTTGGTTCTTATTACATCTTTCTTGCATGGATGCATGGAGACCCTAACTTTTTTTCTCATGTTCTAATAATAGCCCTTAGTTGGTGATCAACAGCACTGACAGAGTTTTAAATAATAAAATCAATATATCAAATTTCATTACTAGGATTCAAAGCCAAATATAAGAATACAATATATCTAATATACAAACAAAATAAAATGCAAAGATATAGAATGCAGATCAATAAAAAAACAATATTACAAGGCTCAATAGTGACCAAACCCACAGCCTTCCAGTTACCAGACTAAGCTCCAAACTCTTCCATTGAGCTACTATGATTAAATGAAATTGTCTTTCTTCATGTCCTTTATCATATAATAATCATCCATGAAATACCTGTATTTCTCACTTGAAAATCACACATTCAGGTACCTTTATAATTGGARGTTAATAAACAACATGACTTGCTTTCATAGATAATTATTATACCATAAACACAATATTACATGGTCACTTGTAGATGTGGATTTTATCTTCTTGTGTTGAAAGTCTCTCAATTGTTTTCTTATGCTCACTTGTAAGAGATCTTTTGAACACTTATGATAAAATTCATATCCCAATACACCCATGTAATATCATGTATTTCCCACTGATTACAAATTTCCTATTGTTCTGTGTGCTAAAATCAAAGATGTACTGAATTCACAGTCAAGTAGTATATTACAATTGTCTGCCTTCAAGACGTTTGAATAACATTGGCTAGAGAGCATAGATGTCAATACAACAAATGTTGAAATTATMTTGACTACTGCAATGAAATTGATTGTGGATGTAAAAAAATTGAAAATAAAAGTGTATTTTACATTAAAAAATCAAACAAAAAATCATTATTCTAGGTGATAAATACAATTACATAAAACAATGAGAACTGGTGTTGCATTCATAAGCAAATGCAACTGTTTACACAACAWTACACTTATAGTCTTTGGCTGTCAGTAAACCTCTAGAAACATTAGTACAGCATGGCCGTACTAAAATAAGAAACACTTTATAGAAATACTACGAAAATGTATCAAAAAAGGAACAAATTTAAGAATACAAGAAACACTATTAGTAGGAGGTCCTAGAGAAACGTGACTGGAGTAGTATAATAAACCCAGAAGACGAGCAGAATCCAGGCTATGTTTTGACTACGTGTATTCCGGACGAATACTCGGAAGTTTACGGTAACAGACAAATCAAATTCAGTGATTTTTTTTAAATAGTCAAAGATAGGAAACTTATCTGAAGTGTTTCATATACTGTGCCCCATGAATATTTTGAATGCGGGCGAGTATTTTTCAAAAAGCTCAAAGTATGCAAGGTATTCACGAAATGTACAAGCAAAAATAAACAAGAAACGAAAAACTGTGAAACGTACTATGTTGTCGCACATGACAACAAAYATCGCGATTAAACTTCTGTTGTTTGCCTGAGATTTCGCTACGACAGTCAAATTCGCCCCATATTTTGAGACAGACTAAGAAATGAATGCTAGAATATAAAGGCAATATGATCCAAACTCGTCGAATATAGGAATTCACGATAGGCAAGAGAATGGCTTGCAGCTCGGTAATCTAGGCAAGAGAAAATAAAGAAATTCCCCTTGTACTAAGCACAGTTTATAAAAACTTTCTAAATCTATGCTTCAAAATTTCTATGAATAAAAACACACATTTGCGGTAGGAAAAAATCCTGAGTGTACTGAATCGTATCGGTTGAGGAAAATATTTGACAAAACGACCACGCAATCCGAATATCTTTAAGCTCGCTATACCAAATTAACAAATATAGCATACAAAGACGAGAAAGCACAATTATAGATTGCACGTCAATATGTAGTAAGTGGAAGGACAGATGCGATAATTGAGCATCGAAAAGAGATACAATGGCAGTGCAACATAAAAGTCCCCACAAAACAATATTAGTATTTGTTTTGACTGGTAAGGGAATGATTCGACTCTACCTTGGTGCTGGAGATCAGAAGGGTTTGAATCCATCGAGGACTCTTTCATAAAYTGTACTTAAACGTTTAACCACTGTTTGTCACCCTAAAAAATAGTTAAGAAATGTACAAAATAAATAAATATTATTGAATGGTGATAACTGGTTTAGCAATGATCGATATACAACGAACGCAACATCCTACTTCGCTATTCTGCACATTGCGCACTGCGATTACAGTTTACATCTCCAAGATTGTTGAGAATTTTCCAATAAAAATTCAGGCATTGAGATAAAGATTKATTTTTCCTCATGCTAAAAAAATATTACAAAAATTCGCCAATACGTTCACGATTCAGCAACATTGTTGATAGCGAAACGAAATGTTAAGTCCAAGCTCGTCTCTCCAACGTCTTTTTCTCTAATGCGATCTTTTTGTTTGCCAAAAAGAGCAACATTCCCGGAGCTTTAAACCTTAATCTTAACTAGTGTTCTAGAACAATTAACTCTTACGGATAAATTTACCGGTGTTCGTAAACAGAACACTACTGGCGAGGTGGTTTTTCCTGATGATCTACAGTGATCTCGTTTGGCAAGCTCGCATCATCATMGCCGGCAAAAAATTCCAACTTACCGTTCTGTGTAGAAGCAAGAGAATACTTGGCCTTCATAGCCTCCATACTAGAGCCAAGTCATCAAGTCATCTGATCGYTGACAATTTTCGAGGGCAACTAATTATCTGAACAAAAAACAGCCAATAAACCAAGCACTCGCCACCACAAATAATGAGGAGATGGTCTCCAACGCAAAAATATGCAGCAACGACAGCCTGTCTCCTCTCGAAAACACGACCAATACTAAGTACAAAGTGTGCACCTAAATATAATATTGATTCAAAATGATAAGATCTACGGACAATAGGTTTTTTACCCGCTAAGTCGAGCTGTACCTATTACCAAACAGGATAAATTATCTGTGAGAGGATGTAGACCCAAAACCAATATGGCGCTTGCCTTGTCCCTTTTCAATATACAAGGCACCCCGCAGATCCTGGCATTCCATAGTCACGTGTCAGGGCGGTATTTAGCTATCTCTGAACTGGACTTTTTCACAAATGATTTAATGATTTGTTTTAAAAGGAAAACGAAAATAGAATTCAAAAAGAAGTAAAAAAAAGAGGAGAAGTACCATTTGTTCTTAAAATAAAAGTTTAGTAGTTTGATTGCYAGCATTTCTTAACAGCATTTCGTATTTAGTGAGAAAAGTGACAAACGGGCCGTTTAAAATCCGCATCCTCAGAGGATGGAAAAATCGTTAAATGGCCGAATCTAATTGATGCTTCTTAGGCTTMTGACCTTTACCGTAAAAATGTTATAGGCTAATCACGCACGCTTTTGGACCAATCAGGAATCACGTGTATGAATATTCTGTAAAGTCGACACCCGGAGGGAGGGTACTCCCTACCCAACTTGGGTGGGGGACCGCACGACCCTCAAAACCCTTACCCTATCCCAGACCAATTTTGTGATTTTACATACCTTACCCAGACTAAAGGTTCAAAGGTATATTTTATCGCTGAAAGCGTAGTGATACGACCACAGGCAAAACTCCATCCTACCCCAGACAATGAGACTATATCCTGTCCTAGACRAAAAAACTACCCTATCCMATACTACCTTGTCCAAGACAAAAACACTACCCTACTCCRGACAAATGGGCAAAAAATGATACCCTATCCCAGACTTGGAGCTCCGAGAAAGGGACCCTATGAGTCGACAAAACAGTTTGGATTCTTTGTCCATTKAGACTTGAACATGCTGCCAATGAACTCATATCAGCCAATAATGATATGCCCATAGATTGTGCGATGGTTTCAAGAGCAACTCCCTGGCAACTGGCTATTTTGTATCTTGTACAGAAAAAAAGTCACTTTCATTGACGTTCTGATCCAAGAAAAGTTTCTGCAGCTTTTATCGCGGCTAGTACAGCTATAAGCGTATCCACCAAACTATGCTATCATAAATCCAKCATACTGATTGGCTATTGAGCTATGGTATATTGTTAAACATTTTGGTATTGGGACTAGGACTTTAGMTTTTGGATCGGGTACGGGATATGGGTTTCCCTTAAAATTTTGGGGATCAGGATAAAATCTGAAAGGAGGGCTTGYAATATCGGCAAGCAATAACATATTTAACATATAATACTTTTCGCGGTTAAAAAAATAGTTTCTCGAGGGGCCCATGGTTTTTCACCAAATTGAGGCAGGATCGGAACCTTAACCTTATGAACCTTCCTAACCTTCTAGACTGATTCCATAAGTCGTAGTATTCGCTCCTCGGTTTGTCGCTCAAACTAGCGACCTGTGAGCGAAAAAAAAATCGACAGAGAGGGAACTGGTAACGACTTATGGAATCAGTCTATAAACCTTCATGAACTTTCAAAAACCTTCCTGAACATAACGAACCTTCTGATCCTTCAAACTYCATGAACGCACCCCCACGGGAGGTTAATTCGGTAAAGTAAAGAAAAGGTATAGTTCCTCATGATTCTGCGTGGGCTCAGCAGGAGACTACTTGGATGTTAGGGAGTTGCATTCCAARACACAAAAACCACAATTTGATTTTTTTCCGGCGCAAAAAATATCGATGAATGACATTTTTAATAAAACTTCGCTGTGGAATGTGGGATTCCTGCGGTAAGGAGACCTCGCATTTTATGTGGGGACTGGGAATGAGAATAGGTTTTCCAGACGAAGTTYAGGACAGTTCTTCCTGACGTTCTTCATGGTGGAATCCATAGTCTATGGTCACGAGCGGGTCACGAGGTAGAAATGAGCAATCAAGAAAACACTAACCCAGGTACAAATTATTATTATCTTTGGCTGATTATTTGATTTACTCCCGATATAACATCACCATTTAATTTACCATATTGTTCTTAAATGAATGAAAGAAAGAAAATAAAGAAAAAAAATTAAAATATGAAATATAACTTTTTTATACCTATTTAAAAAAGCCTTTCCATAAAGAAATTGAACATTTATACTTTATTGCAATGAGAATGGTCAAAAAGACAGTTAATGAAAAATCATGCATTCCTCAAGCTGGACTTTTTTACTGATTTTAAATTATTCCTTTTGACTCCACAAGAACATACAATGCAACGTTTCAGAGCCAAATTATTGCCTGCCTGTTTGTCATGAGCTGTTGTAATAATTATGTTCTATTTCGTACTTTTTGTATATATTTATGGCAGGGATTGGTTAAAAGAAGGGCAAGGGACTGGTCATACTTTATTTGGAAGGGGGGAGGGGGAATTTTTGTACAAAATGCAATTTTTCTCTCTGGCCCATCCCCTGGAGTATAACATTTGATTTGTGACCCACTCCATACTACTTGTCAGATGTCATTATAAAMAATTGCACTTCCAATTTATTAGATGTATGAATTTTGATGGCTTTATTTATTGTTTTATTAATTAAATCTTCTAGCAGCCTTATTAAAAGATTATGAAATTTGAACTACCATCTATTGTATGCATTTCACCAAACAGAACCCACACTCCACCAACAATTTTTTKGACCCAYCCCTATATTCTTTTAGAAATTTAAACCTGCCCCTCCCTCAACCACTCACAAATCTGATCCAATGACATTCAATATTTCAGATAGTTATGAAATACTGAAAACAACAAGCAGTACAASGAAGAACATACTTTATGGCTTAGCAATAGTTGTTGTTATTGCACTATCTTGGGTTGGCAGCACTCAACTAGCACAGAGTACTTATTCACCAAATTTTAATGCTCCTTATTTTACGACTTGGTTTTCTACATGTTGGGTAATGGCACTCTTTCCATTGTATTCCTTTCCATGGTGCCTTTTGAAAGGAAAGAACTGGATAGTGTTTGTCAGGTATTAAATCTTTTACTTGCACAACTCCTATCACTCTAGAATTAAACTATTGTTTCACATTGTTGGCATGTACAAAATAATATACATTAATATGGTGAGAGTAATTGTTCATGATATTAATTGTGATCTCAGCACCGTCGWTTAATATTTCTAAATCTCTCGTCAGGGAAAATGGCCAAATATTTGGAAGCAGTGGCGTGTCTACAATGTCCATTATAAAATATGTATTACCATTTTGCATTTTATGGATGGGCACAAATTATTTGTACATCCGTGCTCTTGGTGCTATCAATKCTGCTGATGTCACTGCTATTTTCTCTAGCTGCAGTGCATTTGTTTACATTTTCTCATGGATTTGGCTTCAAGAAAGAGTTGCAATCTTTAAGGTATCAAGGGGTTCTGAACTTGCCACAAAGAAATAAAATGTCTTGAGCAGCTCCACATAATTGCAGTATCCAGGGAATCACTCCTAAGTAACAATTGCTTTCTCAAAATGTATCATGAGCACACTTTTCACATAGAAACATGTAAAAGATTGTTCAATTAGCCATTGGGTGAAGTTATTAAAACTTTTGGTACTGGTATTCTCTGTTAAGTGTGACATTCAAAACTTCAACCTATTAACTGGTTTGCATCCATATTGTACACCTGAGCTTCTAAAGGTGATACAATGTAAATTCTGTTCTGAAAAATGCAGTGACAGAGCATGTTACTTATAATCATCACTTTTCTTAGGTATTGGCAGTATTATTATCTATTTGTGGTATTGTACTCATGGCTTACACAGATGGATTTAAAGGAGCTAGTGCAGTTGGTGTTGTTCTTTCTCTTGGCGCAGCTGTTGGTGCAGCTTTGTATAAGGTACATGCATAGCATGTTCTAAAGCAATTCTTTCTAATTAAAAGACCTTTTATTCTGACCTTACACCTAGCTATTATTCYGCTATACACTGTTATTTTTATATATCCTGTATGCTAATTTTGCCAGTTTTACTGTTGTATTATATTTTCGTGACCTGATACTTGAATTTCAACAGTAGTGTATGGCCCTCAACTCTCATTTGATCTCATAATGCTACTGAAGGACAACTTGCTAATTCTTAAAAATCTTTTTAACCAATACTATTAATATACGTGATATTAATTAGTGATTCATTATTTTTTATATCAACAAACCATAGTTTACTCATGTGTAAACAAGAAACAAGTTCTTGTCTCATTCAATAGTTGTCAATGCATAGAGCCTACAATTTCAGAAAGTTTTGAATAATAGAATTAGAATTAGTTGAAATCTCAGCATTATGCTGTGATAGTTGCCCTTGAAAACCATGTTTCCTCATAACATGATAGTGGCCCTCAAACTGCTTTCTAAGGCAAGTATTTGTAATTCAGAACATATAGTTTCCACAGGCAACTATCAGTATAATACCCTTGAACTACTCTATTGTTTAATTAGTATGCTCTAATTTCTTTTTTTTTTTTAATTTTTTTTTTCAGTCTATTTGACTTTGACAGTCAAACTTTATTAACCCAAAGGGTGAAACATCAATTACTAAATTGTAAAAAATAGTAGTAGTTGAACAAGAGTTAGCACAATGGCAGCACAACATAGAATTGCTAATATTGCTTTAACAAAAAGGAGTCTACAACATAGTTGCATGTTTTTCAGGTGCTCTTCAAGAAAACTGTTGGAGATGCCACTGCACCTCAAGTTGCTTTGTTCTTATCTTTCCTTGGAGTTATCAGCACATTTTTGCTATGGCCAATCATACTTATTCTCTACTATACACAAACTGAACTTATTCATTGGAATAACATCCCATGGTCATACCTGTGTGGAACATCAAGTTTAAACTTAGTTTTTAACTATGCAATTAATTTTGGTATTGCCTTCACATATCCTTTATTTATTTCACTAGGAATAGTTCTAGGAATCCCTATAAATGCACTGGTTGATGCCATTTTTAGGCAAAAAAGCTTTAATGGTTTAAAAATCGTGTCTGCCTTTTTAATTATCATAGGGTTTACGTTAATGCTTGTTCCTGACTCGTATGAGTATAGGCTTCAGAACAAGTTGACATGCAAGAAGGTCAATGAAGATAATGGTGAGCAGGATTCATTGATTAACAATAGTTAATAAGGAAGATACAAAGGGAATAGACTTTAGATAGGCTTGTTGGTCAATTGCCTGCATGGTGCGCCATCAAATTGATTAGTTGCTGTTATGCTATAATCTGTTCTAAAAACATTATTTGTTCTACTCAACCAATATTTATAATATCACACTAGCATAAATATACTTGCAGTTTATACAAACTCAAGGCAGTTTACATCCATGAAGATAGCACAGCCTACACAATCAATAGATAATTTATTATTATTCTACTTAGAAAATCTGTTCTGAAATAAGAAGAAACTAAACAATACCATATACATGTATTTCAAGTACTGATGAATAGGTCCATGATATATACAGTGCAGCTATTAGAGCAAATTTAGTGTGAGTGTGTAAAAATCACAGAACTTCCTGTTATCCATGCTGTAGTGATGTTGTAGTGATGTTTTTTTTTATTTTCATGATTTCATTACATCATTACCATTGTTATAATTAATTATGCTAGTCTGTGCTCTTTCACAAACATAGGAAATCTGCTCTATAAAACCAGGACCAAATGCATGAAACAAGAGGTCTGATATTTCCAAATAAAACATTGTGTTCTTATTCTCTTTCTAATATTATCAAATTTACAATGGAATTGGCAAATAAAACCCTAGCTCAAGGTGTAATGTCTTTGTAAATGAAGATGGGCCTGGTTTTGGTAGCAGCACTGCAAATTAAGTTCAACAGCAATGTCACAAAAAAAATAATGTCTATCTTAGTCTCATTTTGCATCACATAGAATCAATAAAGATTTGCATTGTCTGTAGTGGAAATAGTTACCAAAAAGTATTGCTACAAAAAAGAACTGCTCTTATGCTATAAAAACTAAAGAGAGAAGACATTTTTCATGAATTTTCATTGGCTACTTTCAAGGATCCAAGTTCTACATTGTAGGAATGTTGACAATTCCCTCTACTGGTAGTAATATGATTGTAGTTTGCTATAACACTTTGTAATATAGAAGAAGGTACTAGAAAGCTGTGGAGAAATACCAAACACAGAGGTTAAGTTTGATGAAGTAATACCAATTATTAAATAAAACACTTAAACACTTATGAAACATGTAAATGCCTTGTGAATGGCTGGTGATAGTAAATTATTAACTATAATTATAAAACTTATTAATAATGCATGAGCTATTACTCCAATAAGGGTTGTCCATTTCATCAGGTGATTGACCTTGTAAATCAGATACAACACTGTGATACAACACTAGTGTTGTATAAGATTTACAACACGGTCGTCACCTTGAGACAACCCAACACTAGCAAAGGTCTCAGTTTTAGTGTCGCATCATAGACCTTCACTAGGTTTTGAAGCAATCAAAGACGGATAACAGAACTGGCTTATGCAACAGATGGCTTGCTTTCCATGTGGGATGGATAATTATTCAAAATGTTCTGTGTTGCAGTAAATTGCGCATGCTTAATAGCGACTCAACTCAGCAGTTACCTTATTTGTCATTTTTCGTCATTTATCTCACTGTAATTCATGTTAATTCGTGTTGGAGTTTTATAAGTCGTTTACAACATTCGCGTCCGTGTTGTATGGGAATTACAATCTCTCGCCTGCGGCTCGAGATTGTAATTTCCCATACAACACGGCCGCTCATGTTGTAAACATTACTTATTACCTGTTAGAGCTTCCTGGGCGAAATATTTCACATCTGCATCAGTGTCTGCATTTAGCTTGTCCAGGCAAGGCTTTACTTGTTGTTGAATAGTCCTGCAACAAATTTCATGGTTTAAAGCATATCCTCTCTGTAACCCAGACATCAAACTGGGCTAAAGTTCTTCTCCTATTTTTAATAGCAACATAACCCATTGAGACACTGAGGGTTAGCAAATACAGTCATACTAAAAACATRAAATGYATTGGGTGTGATTGGTTGCTATGAGATTGACATGGCTTTGARGGGGATGCATTAACTGAAATAATCAGATTATAGGTATCAAAACAGCTTTTACTTACAAAGCGTCCATAAGTGGTCCAATCTTTTGAAGAGTTTTAGCAACATTGAATCTGACATTAGCAACAGTATCCTTTGCAAGACCAAGAACAACAGGAAGCATGAGATTAACTGCATTTTGTGGACCACATACTTCAGCAAGAACCTATCAACAACAAAAAAGTTACATAAAGCAAATTTAACAGAATGGAGGAATAATTCAGTACACCTTGTATTGTTATGAGATCCAGTATTTATTGACTTACACTGACTGAATGAAGAGTGGTAAGACGATGAAGATAGTTAGGTTCCTGCGCCATAGCTAAGACCTTAGGAATCACTTTGGCCTGTTACGAAAGTATATGTMACTAAATAACACTGATTGCATTTGCAGTACATTTCACCATTTCTGGGAGGTGCAAAAATGTAAAACTTTTTGTGTATAGCACAAGTTCTTATGTTTATTATCCTAGCAATATTGGTAAGTAGTACTAAATGGATAGAATAATGTATTTCACCTGAGCCCAATCTGTACCAAATGTCTCCACAAGGTTCTTCAAATTGAGTGCAGCTGCTTCTCTGATGGCACAAACATGATCAACAAGCCAGGTCATACATAGATTGTTGAGTTTTTCRTCAAAAAACTTTACTCCCAGCTGTCCAGCAAGAAGTGGCATATACTCAATGATTGCAAGTCTCACTCGCCATTTTGTATCTTCTGCCAGTTCTACAATGGCTGGTAATAGAGACTGAGATAACTGGTGTACACCAATCACTGTTAAGCAAAAGAGATTAAATTAATCCAACCTTTCAATGAAACAGACTAAATAAATTCTATTAGCAATAGTGCAAAGTCTATATTGATTCAGATTCAAATATATTATTCTTTCAATCAAAAAAATAGATCAGCAACAAATGTGAAGAAAATAAAGGTGTTGCAATGCCTTTATAATTGAACTTCTGAGGTCAGAAATATTATTTCTTAACAAAAGTAAAAACATTTGCTCCATAATTACAGTAACAGAATATCGGCAGGTCAACAGAAAAATGAAAATGGGTGCTTGCATCTTTAGTGTTCACCGAGAATATGCATTTTCAAAAAAAACATGCCTAAAAACAACTGATGACAATTGTGATTTTGCATAGAATATTCACAATTTAGAATTGTGAAACAGTCCGAAACTTGACCAAAACAACTTGCGCTAAAAGCATAACAATGCATTTCATTTTTTAGCAAGTTTCTATTTTAACCAGYATTTACCTTGATTCACACAATCCAAGTTTGAAATAATATTTAGGCGAACTTCAGGAAACTATAAATAGTAATCAAATATTTCAAAATCAAATATTTTTCAAAGTGAATTTACGACTACTCAAAATGTTACCTCATCTTTAAGCATTGTAAGAAATAGTGGAAGAAGATGTTCTATAGTGCTGCAAGGAAAGGAAATTGTTGTAGAAGTACAAATGATGTTACTAATATTTCAATAAAATAATTGATATGGCAACCTCAAATTATCAATTAAATTTCAAGTTAAATAAACAGGTTAATCACAATACTTTATCTAATTAATATTGTTCCATTTTATATGTAAATTATTATTATYTTCATTTTTATCATGTGCTTAGCTTTTATTCAAATATCTGTTGTAAATCAATATCCTTTAAATCTTATCTATCATTTCTAAATTTATTATAAATATAAGTTCTTTTATATTTGTTTTTATTCTGGAAAATAATCTTATATTTTAAAAATAAGCATCAAAGATTTTTTTCAGGAGTGAAAGAATTGAAGGAATTGCATGTTTACATTCTTGGAACACTAAATAATTAACAATTAGACCTCGATTTCAAGTGGACCACGAGCTAATAGCCCATGAGACCGAGTCTGCCAGGCCAAATGGGCTATTAGCTCGTCGTCCACGAGGCCGAGAGGTCTAATTGTTTTAGTATAAACATACTAATCGGTCAAATAATGAAAACAAATTGAAATACCCTTAAAATAATTTATTAATGAGATGCGATCATTTAGATTTTCCCGYRAGTGGTCTATCACAAATTAGACCATTAGTAGAGTAGCCAATCAGAGCGCAGTATRGGTGATAGACCATTAGTATGTTTATASTAATGTCATTTAGACAACCAATCATTGTATAAATTTATTCAATATGACATACATATAGTAAGCCCTATGGTTAGGTCAACAACCTTGAGACATAATGAATTTCTAAATTTATTCAATGTATACATACTTCTCTTTGCCTAGAAGTGGTGAAAGACCCATAATAACAGAWGCTAATGCAGACTTTACATGTTGGTTAGGGTCAACTACTAAATCCTGAAAGAACAAAACACATTGTAACCATACTTGATCATTACACGTATTTAAAAATGGAGCAAGTTATTTGGAAATTATAATGTAGATCATATTTTCAGTTCTAGTGCCCTTGGTACATTTGCATCAAAAAAAGTGTAATGATTGCAAATGGCTGTAAATGGTTGACGTAAATCCAAGATATAAACTTTTGGATGAATGAAATWTTAATGGCTATTAGTATTATTTATCAATGAAGCTTCACCTTGACACAAGGCAAAATGTTTGTCATCAAGCATTGTTCTCTTATCTCTGGCGACAGACTTTCGCAGAAATCTAAGAGMAATAAACAAAATATGACTATATCATTACTGTCTTTTTTATTACATAAATTATACCATTTTAATGGTAAAACACTGGTAAYAATTATTTAAAAAAATATATATGTAGTCATTAAACATTAGATAGTGACATACATAAATCTTGTTACATCAATATACGCAAAGTATTTATAAAATATATCAGAAATTATGGGATGTGGTATGATATCTTTTTCAGAAAGTACAAGTGCTAGGCAAAGCAACTTAAAAAAATATTAGCAATGATATTCTATAATTGAACATATACTTGAAATATGAYTCATAAAGATCATAATTTCTGCATATTGCTGCATCTTGCAAAATAATCAAACATGGCTACATAGTTATACMAGGAAACCATTAACATGTTAATCATCTTCATGAGAACTGACATAGYATGCTACTTTGCATTGATATCTGTAAATCAGTAGCATGATACCTTTAACTTTCCCTGCAGAAGCTGCACGAACTTCAGCCTCACAGTCTTTAAGAAGTAACTGGAATGCCACCACAAGGTCATTTTGAGTAATTTCTGGACCAACAGCCTTTTGTAACTAATAAAAGCGAAATGAACATTCAAAGKTTTTTCCRTAATGGGAAACATAAAAACCATGGTATGTTATGGTATAAGAACTAACCATTATGTTTTTTATTAGTACTATTGTATAGTTATGTGGAACTAAGTGCAATTTACCTCTGTAAACTTATCAGCTATCATGTAACGCACTCTCCATGATTTATCCTAAAAATTATTAGAGATTCTCATTAGAAAACACAAGTAATAATTCTTACTAATCTTATTGATAATAAAAAAAGTCAGCAATAAAGCAGCAAGACCCTTACATATGCAGCAGTTTTTACAATTGGCATTAGCAATGATTCTTTATCTTCATTTGGCAAAGTAGAAGCAATCTGTGGACAGTTTTCTACAGCTAAAATCCGCACAGAGTCTTGTTCATCAGAAGCAAGACTATTRAACATGGGCATTAAATCAGACTTCACAAATTCAAGTTCCATAGCTTTGGCAAATTCCTGTTATGAAATAGTATAAAAAAATATTATTAGGAATCATAAACTGACTACAATAATAATTGATATAAAATACTCACTCCGATTTTGCCAGCAGCTGCTCTTCTAACCATTGGTGTATCATCACTACACAAATTACGGAACAATCTTAAAAATAAAAGAACATTCAAATCAATGACTTAAAAAGAAAATAGAGATAGGCATTCCGTGACGTTAAAACTTACCCTCTCAACTCGGCTTTCAAGTTTGAATTTACACGCGAATAACATACAGCAAAGAGACCACAAGCTGATGTCCTTAGAGTAAACCAATCACCTAACAAAAGTAATAATTTACAACACTTGTAATACATATAGTATCACAAAACCTGGTTCTCATAGTAATCCTCTCCTACTATCAAGCATATTCCAAGGTAACAGTTGTAATAAATTTAACACCGTAAAAATAAGGTAGATGAAACACGAAGGATTAACCTCCGAAACATCAGTACGTTGATTCACCTACTTTATTACGTTGTTAAATTTACCTTTTTACACAAATGTTTCTTTAGAAACACTGGCACACMTCACACTAGTTTACCGGTAGTTTCCAACATTCTGAAGTATACTTTCTACTAGTAGTACATATATATGCTGGCATGTGTTAGTCTTACCTTGAGAAAGTCGTTTAACAAGAGGAAAGTAATGATTTTCTAAGTCCTGGGTTGACAGATCTCCTGCAATGCTCCTYAATGACTCAACTGCCTTATCTCGAACAACTGTTTCTTCAACTGTTGCTAAATTTTCCAAAGGAGGCTAAAATGAMATTCTATATGTTAAACCTTGCATTGATTGACATTAAAAGGTTGGAAAAACAAACAGAATACAGAGCACAAGTCTGCACCCAAAGAAAATAACGTAAGYACACAATATCTATGAATATGTGGAAGTAATAAGTACATAATAAAAGTATAATATAAAGTATATTAATCTGTAATTATAGAATACGTATCTAAAGCTACAATATTCATGTCTGAAAGTTTAGATTACATGTCTGAAATAATTAAGTACAAGTTTATTTGCTATCTTACCAATATACAATGGGCATGTCCTGGACCACCAACTAAAGTTGTAAATGTGCCAAGCTAGAATTGATTAAAACAATATTGACAATCAAATGAAATATACAAATAAGACTTATGTACTGTTTTGACAGAGAGAGACCAAGAAACAGGTGCCATCAACTTRAAGCAATTTACCGAAAAAATCACAAACTTTTTGTTACCTGTTCAGCTAATGCTAGCAATACTTCATCTTCATCATATATTGTATCTATACAACAATAATGAATCTCATGAATTAGAAAATCATCAATCATTTGAGTACTTCATGTAGGAATATAAAAGACAACCTTGTTATCATATTTTAGGAATCAGTGTTTACCAATATGTTATTGTAAATGAGTGGGCTTATGCAGAGCTCTCAAGCTATAAAACTCTTATCTTTCTATTGTCTTATATACCATAATGTTAATGCATTAGTATATGTATCAGTTTTAGCAAATCAATAACTTTGCAGTTTTTTCATTGGAGCTAGTAGAGGATAGATAACAATAAGCTTATGTAGCAGACGATTGTACATTTATGAATTCTATTTAAATCAAAACGAACAGCAATGCAGAATGACAAAAAGGCAATTAAGAACTATGTGCAAATCGAATAAATATGTAAAAGTTATYTATGCACCAATCCAGACATTGAATCGAAACATGCACCGGACTATTCTTTGTAAATACCGAAGTCATAAACGCGTCAGTTTAGTGAACTAGTTCAAACTAAATGAGTTTYAATCACAACGAGAAGAATTTTGTAGTGCTAACAATGACATAACAAGTAAATGCTATCTTTGGGGTATTTTTGACATCTTTTCCGTGCTTTTTTTTCGATTTACGCCGGTTGAGAGTTCAACACAGGATGACTAAGCTGTGTAGCTTTATACGCTTGCAGCTGCATTTGTCACTTTCACTTATTTTCAATAGTGATTCTTAATCAAGAATATCTCAGTGTTACATACATTACTTTAAATGGATAAAACATCTTACCAGTAAGGAAAGGAATTAACTCGCTTCTCGTTCTCTCCACACCTAATGCCAGAGCTATAGTCGACAATTTCTTGATAGAATTCAACCTCAGCTATCGTGAAATAGGGTGTATTAGTACTTTTTTTAAGGCAAAATCAATTGAATTATGTCCCATTACTGGGAATGATCTTTCATCTACAATAAAACGTACTTGTACGTCTTCATTCCGTAGTTCATCGATAAGAACGGCTATCGGATAGAGCGAGTCGTCTCCTTCGCTCGACGCCATGTTGAAATCTTTCTGCCTACTGACATCGGCTCGTTCAACCTCGCTCTGGGGGTCTCGTTAGCAACTGAAGGGCCGCATAACCGGGGGGAGTAGTTTTTTTTAGGGTATCTTAAAAATTTCTTATTTACATGTATAATATGATTTACATATATATGTATATATCTATTTTTTAAATTAGAATTTATCTAGACCTGGTACAAATATTTAAAATTGAATGCAATTAAAGTGCTTCAAAAAAAGTGCTTCATCAGGCCAAAAAAGAGCCCAAAGCCAGCAAGAGATATCAATATTGAAACATTGCAGTGTTGGAGATTTTCTTGGTTAAACGATGATGATGATTTATACACAGTAAAATCAAACCCATAAAAAAGAAAAAGAAAAAAGACAAACAACATTTTAAGTGAAAAACTTGAGATTGTCTCCCCCTGGACACCAGACTTTGCAAAAAACACGCGCCTTATCCCAGTCTTACACGGTTGTTGTAAACAATATGGCGGGAGGTATGTAGAAATAGATGCTCTGATACTACATCATTACAACCATTCCTTTTTATTTCCTTACTGTAAATATAACCAAAAATAACACAATGAGTCGCGGTTGTCACATTTATTTTGAAAAAACCGGCCAAGCACCATCACCAAGCAAAGATTTTCATCAGTTGATCGTACAGGATCACGAAGTCATCTGGAGAACTTGGAAGATTTCTCTCCGTAAAGACCTGAAAGCTATTCCTCCAAGCCAAARGAAAGTTCCCTGGGAGGACTTTGACTATGATGACATCACCCAGTCGGATATTTCAAGAGTGTTTGGTGAGGATGCTCTTCGACTTGTTCACGCTTTGGTCTGTGGAGACTGGCTTGTACGACTTCCTTCCAGTGTTGTTGTTCACATTGYTAGCCATCTCGACCTTGTTGACATAGCGCGCCTTGGTGCCGTTTGTAAGTTTTTGAGGAAGATTTGCTCTGGCGATGAGCTCTGGGAAAAAATTTATCGTCATCATTGTGATACCGTGACAGAAGAAATTGAAGAACTTGCAGCAGAAGTTGGATGGAAAAAGACATTTTTCACTAACAAGTTACAGTTGCAAGTTCAAGTAAGGAGAAGAAAGGAGAGAAATAGCGCCGACCTAAAGCAAAAGGCGTCTGATTTGGCACATAAGAACGAGCCAAAAAGTGTTGGCAGTACTGCTTTTCTAACACAAGAAAATGGGAACTGAAAAAACACCAACCCTCAGGTCACTGKGGTCGCTGTGCATTGTTTTCTCCTAGTAGCATTAACCTTACATCAATTTCCATATTCTGAGCAAGCTCACAAAGTCAGTAATTAGGTCAATATCCTTATATTAGAAATGTGACAGGAAAAAAACCCTTAAAGGGTACAATTTGATAATACTCTCCCTATGGCATGAGCTAAATCAACTGTCGGTTTGTGTTAAAGTGTTTTAAAAAGCAGTCACCCCTGTGTTGTCACATAATCCTACAACCCACAGGGGTGGCTGATAGGTAATTACAACAGACGAAAAGACAAAAGGCTCAGGTTTGAACCCTACTGGCCATTTATCTTGACATGATTTCTTGGTTCAGTAGATTTAAAAGTCCAGTGTAATGGAAGTGTGGGATGAGTGCASTATCTATATACTCTTGAACTTGAGTTTGATATACGTGTATAACACTTGAATACATAATAACTACAAGGGTAATATAAGAGATAAAGCCCTTGAAATAACAAAGAATACCAACTCAATTATGTAATAAATAGTATAATTGCCCCAATGGAGTATACTGACCCCCACTGTAATAATATCAGCATGTTCTAACATAGTGGTGAATGAACTATCAATTTGCATTACCAGGTTTTTCACAAATGGAGATGCTTTGCTAGCATGGCTTGTTTATTAACGATTTTTTTTGAAAGGCACTGTAGTACTTGGATTTGGTCAGAACTCGGGTTTAGAGYGAAAAGTGTGAAATGTTGATAAAGACTGCTTGGCATAATTTTTTGTTTTTGTTTTGTATTTGCTTTTTTGATATTGTGTACATTATCAATAAAATAATGAACTTACTAATCAAACAACATAATGTTTGCGAGCCAATTTGAATGTTGCCCTGTTAAAAATGGGTAAATTTCTTGACAGTTGAGACCCTACCCTAAAAGGTGCAATCATGTTAGTCAATTATTATTCATAAACCGCRAAGCTGTGGGATCCCAATAATTTGTCTGCCATTTTGAGAACATTTGTGAATTTTATCTGGCACTTCTCAAAAGCTGTTCCATCCCCATTTAGCCTCCCTGCACCCCCTCTCCAATGAAAATTATGCTCTGCGGTGCCTGTTATTATATTACATATATATTGACTATGTATATGATATCAAAGAGGCAAGATTTTGCTGTAACTCCGAGTTTCGTGCTACGCACTCATCAGACAGTATTTAAATACTGATTAAATACTGTCTGATGAGTGCGTAGCACGAAACTCGGAGTTACAGCAAAATCAAAATCTTGCCTCTTTGATATCATATATATAACTAGCTCTACACTTTATGTGTATTGAGYACTCTTTAATGGGATYAGCTACTTCCTCATACGATTATATTGACTATGTATTATTTTGACATAAATATTGTTACATGTAATAGCAAATTACTCATAGTTATTAATGTTGTTTGTTTTTTAATTGTTGTACTTTTGTTTTCTCAAATTCATGCAACCCTAAAACTGGAGTTACACTCCAGGTCCTTTAAGGTCCATCAATCAACCCTATCCAATYCCGGCCCCCCTTTTCTATGCGCTGCAAGACAATCCTTTCAGGATTTTRCACTGAAAAGTAAAAACTGCATATTTTTTCAGTTTAATTATTGTACCATGCAGGGCTGCCAGCCCCATATGAGTTTCATATCTTGAAATCAATAAATCCGAAATGTTTTACTTGCTAGTTAAGTAACTTGATATACTTAAGAAATATGAGAATTTTGCCATTTTCAAAATTGGGAGATTTTACATAAGATTTGCAATCTTGAGACAGGAAAATTTGAGACAAAACTTTGAGATTATACAGGAGAGTTGACATCCCTACCCATAGTCAATTTTCAATCCTGTGAATGTAGTCGTAAGTGACCATTTCTGGCTCTGCAAATCAGAGGGTGATTTTCAGTAAAGCACACTTTTTTTCTGAGGGATGTATACTATACTATACTACATACTATAAACATGATATCTTTTTGTGTGTCAAAATTTGAATACAATGCATTATGAAAAAAAGAAAAGAAAAAAGAAATGAAGTTGGCATATATTTTGTGATTATGGAGTATGATTTAGTGCGCAGACGCGTTCATAAGRATTTCATTGGTCATTGCCTCTTCACAGGAAGCAGTACCCAGCGAGACTCAACACTCGTGTGTTGATTGTCTTGTAAATATTCCTTCTCTCTGTCTCGTTGAACTGTATCACGATACACTCGTTTGCTTGATCCTTTTTTGCCTTCTTAAGCGATAAATCTGCGTTTTTATTCTTGTAGCGACCCTTTTTTGCCAGGGTCGCAATGCTTTGATGGCCGATAGTTCTACGGAAGGGGAACAAGGGGGGACAGYCAATCGATCAAAAAGGTTTGTATTGTTGTCTTTTTTACTTTATTTTTCTCACGGAATGCATATCTGTTTAGARTAATGATCGCTTTTGGGCGTAATGTGTAATGTAAAGAGTACAGACGTGGTATAAGTCCATATTTATGCCTTCAAACGGACATGATAGTTTACAGTTTCAGAGAAGGTAGCAATTTCATCGCGTCACAATCGCCATTTTGCGCCACTGTCCTTTTATCACCTCGATATTYTTCGTTTTCTCTCTTTAATTCACGAATGGCTAAACCTTTCAGACTCTCAATTCCTTCTTGTTCTCTTGAGGTAAYATTAATATACTTTGTTTTTAGAAAACACTGATATTTTGAGACAAGAAATCGGTCGCCATTAATAACTTTTCAAACTTGCTCTGTTTTGTTTCTTCAACGTGGTAATGAATCTACAAGACTTGACAAAAAGATATCTAAAATTCTCTATATTTCACAAAAGGTTTACCTGGCTAAAGCTTGAAAAGAAAAAGGGAGAATATTATTAACTTTTAAACGCTTRCTTGATTCCTTATTATGATTTCAAAAGATATGTACTAAGCTTATGGCAAATGTTTTGTTTTAAGCCACAATATGTTGATTCCATATAAAATCRTMTTTTTCACTGTAAGCTAGTAAACAGCATTGTTTGGTAAAGGACTAATGGTATTTTTCTTTTATGGTTTCACTTCCAAAATAATTTCCATTTTCAAACAATACTAATTATTATGCTTCCCTGTGTCTATGTATATTTTTTGTAAGTCTACAAGTATTTGAATATTACCATCCTTATGTATTTAACATTTTGTATGGAAATATGGACCAACAGTTTGGACAAATAAGGTTATGGGGTGATCACTAATGCTTTAGGTATGTTGATGGAGAAATTATGATAACTGAAGATCACACAAGAATTGTTTATTTTTGATATTTTCCCGTTCATTGAAATCACTTTACAGAAAGTCCATCTTTCCAAGGTCTGTCCTTGTGTGTGCATGCACATAGCATTTGACAGTTTTATGTCTGTGATCTTCCTCACAAATAAAGCTACTTCACAATCTACATCTGTATATTAAATAATCTAGAAAGGATTTATACTTAGGTATATACTATATTATATCAAATGTGAAACAGGAGTGAAACCTACCATCGGTGTACCCAAAATGTGTCATCCCAAAGTGAAAGAGGGATGAAAAATATGGTTTATAAAGTGTGAKGCAGCTGTGATGTAAATAGCAGCCAAAATACATGAGAAAATTCATGATTTTATTGGAAATGGARGGTGTTCTTATAATGYTTCCCTTCCAGTCTAACCCCATGAAAACACCCATTTGAAAGGGGCTAGGGGAAAAWMAAATGATTAGCATAATAAAATGACTAGTGAATTAAAAATTATCATCTGAGATTGAGAAGGAAAGAAAGCCATTTTACTTAAAATCAAAARCAGGGACAATACTCTTTATCCTTTCTCCTAAACTCATCTCACACAAGAATTCTTTGCCAGTTATTGTCTCAAATCCAAGAGCAAACTGAATGTGTTCTTTRATAATGTTCCTTCATCATTAAAGCAAATTCATACCTGCATGTCTGATACTTTAATCTTAAATGTGGTCTCAAAAACAGGAAAACTCAGTATTTCTCTGAAATAGAAGAAAGTACAAATGCCCTAACCATGGAGCAGTCTTTAATTGCACATTATAACTACATCAGACCTTTCYTTAGGAATCCCAAGAATTGAAAAAAAATTTCTTCAAAATCCTTCTATTCAAAGATGATGCCCTTGAGAAGTAATGTTTAAAGTCCGACAATGAGGACTGGACGGGGTTTCAAGTCCRSGCAATTAGTTCCAGTCCGAGGCSTTAGCCGAGKACTGGAACTAATTGCAAGGACTTGAAATCCCGTCCAGTCTGAATTGGAGGACTTTGAACGACTTCTCATACTCATTAATTACTCGGAAGGGGAAAAAAGCGAAGGAAATACATAAAACAGAAATATATAGAGGATAATACATGGGCACGCGGAGATACATGTATCAAATCTATCTTCAAGTGTTCAACTCGATATCGAACGAGTGAGTGCAGCGAACGAGTGAGATATCGAGAGTGAACACGAGAAGATAAATTTGATATCTCCAAGCGTCCATGTATTATTCTATTTATTATATAAACAAAAATAACTAAAATTTTAGATTCAAAGTCAACTTTATTGCGTCAAATGTCCACAACTGTAGAAATAACAAATTATGAACGAGTCGTCCGGCTCGCAAAATTAAAATATCATGATGAAAAATACATAGAAATGTTTATAATGCCAATACACATAATTGTGCAAACTATATAAGAAATACTTATTGCATATTAAGTTGCTTTAGTTTGGATTTGAGGGTATGTAACTTGTTCAAGGTAAGTTTAATGTGATATAAACTGACTCAACGTAGTGAATTCTTTTTAGATATTCATAGAAGGAATAAACCATTGTTTGCTCGTAGTTGTCTCTATGCTCTCACGCTTTCTGACAGATAATAAGAATTTGCTGATGTATGAATCAAGCATATTTGGTTKYATTTCGTGTACATCACGGCTCTCGTTTTGTGAATTGTTCAAGAAGGCGACGAAAATCGCCATGTCTTTACTTGGCCGTTTTTTCTTTGTGTTCTCATTTTCTTCGAGGTTGTTTTCTACATGTCATGACCTCTATTTCTTCAAATCTGTTCAGTTTTCTGATCTCTTCCTTTGAATCCATTTTAAATACGAGGCTTTTTTGTTGTTTTTAGTAGATACTTAACTTGATGTTGACTTTCTTTGTCAAAGCAAAACAACGCGTATGCGCGTCGACAGTGGCGCGAAACTTACATGTCAAGTGATCAATGTTGATCAGCGATTGGCTAATAATCTCTCGATGTCATACCCATGTAATACCATTTTTATTACACATGTGTCAGATAAATACGATTTTTCTCAGTGTTAGAAATCTTTGTATCTCACTACAGTTTATATAATATATTGATTTATTACATCTCCACTAAGGTTTTCAGTTTTCATAATTTTGAATACATGAAGCACCGTTTGTTGTTCTTCAATT